CATTCAATCCACTCCTTGTGATGTTAAGAAATAGCTGCAGGTACTGGATCCTGCAAAGACCCTGACAATACCCGTTAAAAGTAAACTTTATGATGTTGCTGACTGGAAAGCATTTTTACAGCTGTCTTGGGGCCAGAGCCTTCAAAATATTTTGATACAGTGGTTCACAACATATAGAGGCTATTTAATATTTTCCTCTTGTTTAATCCCAGTCTCAAAAATGATTTGTAAAAATCAATTTCACTTCATTGAATGCATGCCTTAAGCAGGAATTCTATCTTGATACAAGCAAGAATGTTTTAGTTTATAATTTAATGCTTCAAGTACTTGAGTAGATGAACGTTCTTCATTTAATTTCTGCAATGGACTGTTATGTGCTTTGGAACGCTAATTTTGTTCAATTGATACCAGTGAGTGGAAAGCCTATTTTTGGAATACTAATTCATTTGATCCTATTTTTGTTCTCAACAAAAGTTTAAAATAAAACCTACATTGTCCAGTATATAAGTGAAATTGTTTATTTTTCTGCAATTTTTGAAACATTAAATCACATTTAGTAAACTAAATACAGCACTGCTTTATTACTTTGTGCTGGTATATACAGTATTTAATTTCAAATTCTTCATGATCTGATGATGCAGCACTTAATAGTACATTAGATCAGGGAGAATAGGTTTAATGTCAGATTTCTGCAAATAGGGAGTTCCTTTATTCATTAACGGGATGAGGGCATTACTGGCTAAGCAGCATTTATTGCCCATCCCTAATTGCCCAGAGGGCAGTTCAGAGTCAACCACATTGCTTATGGAATCGTATGTAGGCTAGACCAGGTAAGGATGGCAGTTTCCTTCCCTAAAGGACATTAGTGAACCAGATGGGTTTTCCCCAACAATCAACAATGGATTCACAGTTATCATTAGATTCTTAATTCCAGATTTTTTTTATTGAATTCAAATTCCATCTTCTGCCATGGCGGGATTTGAACCCTGGTCCCCAGAACATTATCAGGGTCTCTAGATTAACAGTCCAGCAATAATACCACTAGGCCATTGCCTCCCCCATGATCATCCTCCAGACAATATTGTTGAATGGAATAAATTCTCTGAAAATGGCAGTAAGTACAGGTGGTTTTTTTTAATGAAGATAGGACTTTTTAAGATGGCTATGTTTTTAACGGTTTTTTTTCATTTAAAGTGAAGTAGAATGCTCTGGATGGGGACATGGTGATTTATAAACTGCCCAAATGGATCCAAATACATCAGGAATAAGATAGAACAGAGATAATAGACCTTCTGCATTCTGCAGCGGCAAATGGCACAATGTAATCAGTACAAAATGGCACTGATTTGGGCATGAGACAATGTAAACCTAAGAATGGAACAACGCGAACAACGACAACATCTTCCAGTCGCGAACCATTTTAACTCCTCCTCCCATTCCCTGGGTGACATGTCCATCCTGGGCCTCCTCCAGTGTCACAATCACGCCACCCACAAACTGGAGGAGCAGCACCTCATATGCCACCTCGGGAGCCTACAGCCCAATGGCCTAAACATAGATTTCACCAGTTTTAAAATCTCCCCATCCCCGGCCTCATCCCGAGTCCAACCCTCTGTCTCATCCCCGCCTGCTTGACCTGACACAACCTGTCCATCTTCTCTTCCACCTATCCACCCCTCCCACCTCACTGACGAAACCCCACCAGTCCCTACCTGTACTCACCTATCACCATCCCACCTACTTTCCCCAGCCCTCTCTCTATTTAGTTCTGAGCTCCCTTCCCCCTCCCCATTTCTGAAGAAGGGGACCAACCTGAAACGTCAACTTTCCTGCTCCTCTGATGCTGCTTGGCCTGCTGTGTTCCTCCAGCTGCACACTGTGATATCTCTGACTCCAGCATGTGCAGTTCTTGTATTTCTGTCCATAACAAAAATCAACTAATGGTTATGCAGATACTCAGTCGTGATAGATGGCAAAAAGCAATTTGCAGCAAGTCCACCCTTTGCCTCTGAGGATAAAACGAACAAGTATGAGTTACGGTCACATCATTATCTTGCACCCTCCACCAATACAGAGATATTCACTTTGGTGGTTTTGATTTCATAGATAAACTCGGGGTCACAATTTGTTCAACATACTACTGAGATAACCGCACATCTGAGGTCCCCAGTAATCAAATGATATTTTGAAACCAGGTTCATGCTTGGACCCAATTCTGGAAACAGTTGTAAGAAACCTGATAAAGAAGCAGTCAGGTGAACAGCTAGTAGGGATGTAGAGGCGAGGCACAGCCTTGAGCAAAAGTTGAAGTAGTCCATTCATGTCCACAGTTCTGTAGTTCCAGCATGTGAGAACATGGCATACTTCCTGGAATGGTTGGTGAACATCAGGGAGGGTCAAGTCTAGCTGAGCACTCATTGGGTGCCGTGCTCTGGCCATGGGATTTAAACAGAAGTGACTAGGTATGAAAGGGACGAAGCACCTTGATCTGTCTCCAGGTTGCTCTGCTGCATCAGGCATCTGTGAGGTGCCATCACGCACCAGAGATGATCCAGGGGTGAGCTGCTGCTCCTCCTTCATTCTCCCGGTGACCTCATCATTGAAGATGGTGCAACTGCACATATACAGGAAACCCTCAGCAGGCTGGAGACCTATCTCTGAGCCACTGGAGGATGAGAGTCAAGGTCATCTCACGCAGTGGAACTAAGCAACCAGCAGGATGCTTCCACCTTAGTTGCAGATATAGAGGCACCATCAAGGTGTAGTATTGGGAAACTAAGGTGAAAAAAATCTAATAGCATAAAGATTGCAGTGTTGACTTTTCTATAAATACTTTATGTCACACATAAATTTTGGTTTAAATTTATTCATGTATATTGCATGGAACAGTTATGTTGGGAATTGTACAAATTGATGGGTACACCAGTGGACAATCAATGATGGCTATATGGAAATATCAATTATTATGTAAAATCAGAAGTGGTGGGATTAAAAGTCATCTCACATGCGGATTTCACTTTTAGGTAACCTTCCTCAAGTTGGAGTTTAGAAGCTGGTTGATAAGCCAGCTCATACTTTTCATCTGCTTATCATCCATCAGAAGCTAATATCTAAACAGCATCTGTAGCTGTGGCATTCTTATATTTCAGGTGAATGCATGAATATAAAGAGTTTTTGCAAAGCATTAAGTCATGCACAACTTCCTTCCAACTCACACACATGGCATTGATGAAAACATGCAAGGGGACCTGCAGCACTCTTCTTTCTAGGTACCAGAGATCACAGTTTAGTCCAAACGAAATGTGCCAGATCCACAAGCACTTCCCCACAATATTTGGAGGAAAAGATAGAATGATCTAGCCCTTTGGTCTACCTGGAATATTCCATTGACCTGGCATCTGCAATATAGCTATGTTATGCACTCTTCAGAGGATAGTCCTTTTTCCAAAGAGCATCCCTTATAGTTGCTGAGGGAAACATAGTACCTGACTATGACAGAGGAAGTAAGTTTCATGAGAGACAATTGCAAAGCAAGCACATCTGGGCTTGTTCATGATGGTCACACATGAACAGCACATATTTTCTCACATTCATTTAATTTGTGAAGGCTACTAGATGATCCCAAGCAGCTCAGAGTTCAACACGTCTAATCAATTGCTTCTCATACCTTCGGAAATCCAGTGATGATGTAGAATCTAACCAATAGGTTCTGAGTCTGCTTTTCACAAATTTATTGGCTCTTCTGAACAAGGCATTAATGACTTCCCTAATATAGCCGTGAGTGATTAATTGTAAGATTCCACCCATCCTCAGTGGAGCCCAGACATGATCCGATGATTTTGAAATTAAATACTTTAGTGACTCTAAAATTTGCTGGAATTGGATTGCTTCCCAATTCATAAGGAAAAATATCTTCCTGAAGCAGGTGAGTAACAGAATCCTTTGATATCTCTGATATTTGCAAATTGTTGCAATGCCAACAGCATATTCAACTACATTATAATGCTTGGCATTTCATTGGCTGCTGGTGCCCTTTGTTGGCATTCTGGCCAATGTTGTGCATAGTCCTTTTGTCACCCTTTGCTGGTTTCTCTCTAGATTCATCAGAGCTAGCAGACACACTGGGTGTACTTCACCCATCCTCTCTGTCTGAGGTGAACTGCAGACAGAAAGCAAAGATCTGGTTAGCATAATCTTTATTGCGCTCTGTCCTTACTTGAAAACTTTTGACCTATGGAGAACCCTATACTTTGCATCAACTGTACTGTAGTCTTAACTACTCTATCATGGACAATTCTGTCCTCAATATGTTCTCCCTGGCATTTGGGTCCATCATTTGTTACACTAGACTTTCAGGACTTTGCCATCGTCCTACCTTCTGTAACTCTGGATCTCTCCACAGTCATGGTTGTCCTAGATGTTCATTGTCCCTATGTAGTCCAGCTTTCAGGTTCCTCATTCTGCTCCTACATGCTCTTGTAGATCCACCCACTGCCAAATGTCCCTCCCTCCCTCTCTCTGCCAGTCATGAACTGATCCCATTTCACTGCCATCACCAAATTTCAGTGCATCAGTGGCTCCACTCTCAAGATGCAAGAAAACACCCCATAAGACAAAAGCAGGTACCATTCAATCCAAATTTGTCCGGAAATTTGCCTTGCCTGTTTGATGCCACCTGTAATCAGTCATAAATCTGAATGTAGGATTTTGCTGCAGTTAATAACCAAAGTACTATTTAATCTAGCACATGTTCTTTAATGGGTATACAAGATTTGCTAATGCATTAAAATAAAAAGATTCCTGCCAGTTAGCACCGGAAAAGTTCAATGTACTATCGATTACAGGCTTATTTTGAAACTTCCATCCTACCACTGTGACATCTTAGCTCTCGCACAATTAACTGTGCCTACATTGCTATCCAGTGTCAGCAACAGCATAATTTCCAGCCAGTTACTCAGAATGGGTTGAAAGAGGGATTAAGGTGAATGTCCAGTCTTTCATTAGTTTTAATAAAAATATTTTTATTCAGATTTTTCAATAGCACACTATTAAAAAGACATTCTTACCCATTTCAGTAACTTCAGAAACACTGATGACCAATTTTATACAGCATTTTCGTACAATTTGTTCAAAGACTACAGTGGTAAATTAGAATCCCCACATCCATACAATAGAGTGTCAGATATTTACAGATCACAAGTACAGTACAAAAATCTTTGTCCTTTGACATAATAGTTATATCTTTGAACAGTAGTAAAGAATGTTAAATACAGTAGTAACTGGACAATGCCAACACAGGATGCAAAACAGATCAAGTGTCTCTCATAGATATTACAGTGTGGAACTGGAGGAAAACAGCAGGCCAGGCAGCATCAGAGGAGCAGGAAAGTTGATGTTTTGGGTCGGGACCCTTCTTCAGAAATGCTTATTTCTGAAGAAGGGTCCCACCCAAAATGTCAACTTTCCTGCTCCTCTGACGTTGCCTGGCCTGCTGTACTCCTTCAGCTCCACACTGTTATCTCGGACTCCAGCACCTGCAGTTCTTGCTATCTCCAAGTGTCTCTCAACTATGTTTAAACTGCTTTACATGTATATTTACATGTATAAAACAGGCTCCCTCAACTTTGGCACCCATTTTTGCAATAATGTGAAATTTGCACCTCAGATGATTTATCTTTTGAGACTGCTTAGTTACTGTCAAATTTTAAACGGTTTCATCTCTAGGGAAAGAAAAAAGGGTCCATTTTTGTTCCATCTGAGATTCTAAATGCAACTTGAGACAATGCCATTATTATGAACCCCTTTGGTCTAAGTGATGTACAAAACAATCATAAGTGAAATTCTCTTACTATGACAATTTGAAAAATTGAGATTTTTCATAATTTCTTGAAATTGCTGCTGGTTGATCAATATCAGTTCTTGATTGCTAAACTAGAATGCATAATTGTGTGGAAAATAATCTCTCCCATCCTTCTCAGCTTTGGCTGCCATTCTTTCATTATCTTGTTTAGCCTTGTTCACTTTGGCAATTCGTCCTCCCCTCCCCTTTTGCATAACCACTGCTATCTCTCTAATACCCTAGGTTCTTGGAGCTTGTTTGCTTGCCATCTTCAATCTTGGCTCCTATTTGATATTGTTGATGGTGGATAATTGAACCATCTGCATGTTGAGACTGGGAATTGTAGCTCTTCAAATTATCAAAACAATTCCTGACCATCTGGAAGAAACTTGAAATATTGGAAAGGAGGAAATTGTGGAGTGGAGCATGTTATGTTGTGTAGGACTATATAGTTTTCACAGGTTCTATACTAAAGACATGGCTGCATTTTTGTAAAAAGTAGTGTTGATCAATAATCTTTAGTCTTCTATGCCATTGAGCTACCTTCAACTTCTTACTGAGTTCCTTACCACACGTGAACTAGCATCGCCCAACCCCACCTTCATCTCAGCTTTACTGATGCTAGAACACTCGTTCACGCCTTTGTTAGCTCCTGACGACTATCTTGCATACTTCAGACCAGCCCCTGTACCCTGTGCAAATCTGAGGTCATCCAAATCTCTGGTGCCTCTGTTCTAACTTGATTCAAGTTTCAATACACCAGCAACCCCCCACCACCCCCCATCTCACCATACTCTTTGTTCTTTATTGGTTCCTAGTATCCAAAATGAAATTGTTATTCTTGATTTCAAATCCTTCTATGGTGTCCTCTGCTTTTGCTTTAATTGTTATCTATTTCTGTATTAATCTCTTCCATTCCTTCAATCCTCTGGAGATCCTGATCTCTTGAATATTCCTGATTTTAATCAACCTATTACTGGCAGTGCTGTTACCTCTTCAGGCCCTAAATTCAGAAATTGCATTCATATAAATGTCTCTGACTCTACATTTGCTTTAAGATGTTGAATAACTCTTTGTGACCAAACTTTTTTAACATTGCCTTACATATCACAATCTCAAATTTTATTTAATACACCCTGGGATGCTTTATATTAAAAGTGCTATATAAATACAAGTAAAAGAACAATTCATTGCTTTCAATGTTAAACTGCATTGTAGAATCATTTCATGTTGGCAGGATCAAGAGTGTAGAAAACATAGTCCTGAACATAGGAGAACTCTGGTCCAGTTTAACAATTTCTCTCTTCCTGTGATCATCACGGAATTTTTTCTTTATGAGGGCAAGTAAACATAAAAGATACAAATAATTAGAGAATTGCACAAAGGATTTTAAAAAGACAGACTTAAGACAAAGGGTAAAACATTTCAAATTTCTAACAACTGCAGAAGCAGTGGAAAATACTGGAAATACTGACCAGGTCAAGCAGCATCCATGGAGAGAGAATCTCCACTTATCCACAGATATTGCTGACTTGCTGAGTATTTTCCCCGTTTTCTGTTTAAATTTCAAAGTTAATGAGATCTAAACAATTCTCATCAGTTTGTATATTTAGCACACATTTCACATGAAGGAACTGTCGTGCTTATTTCTGATTCACAAATAATATTGATCAGAATACCAGGCTGAACTTCATAACGCAGACTAGAAATTAAGTACAATTTATGAAATGGAAATAGTTGGTATTTGGAAAATTCCTGCCAACACATGACGCTGCAAGCAGAAATGCAAAATCCTCAAATGCAGACTGTGTAAAAACAGATAATGAATAGTCTAATTAATTAATCTGCAATGTAACATGGAATTGCAGAATTGTTGTGCACAGAATAAGGCCATTTGGCCCACTGTGTCTGCACTGACTCGCTGAATGAGCAATTCACCTAGTGCTATTCCCCAACTCCCGGTATCACGGTGTGACTGACATTAAACAAAATAATTACATTTTGCTCACCTTTCCTTAAGGCATGCGATTCCTTGCTGGGATACAATTCCATTTGGCACCTTTTTTGGGCATTTCTTCCAAATGCTTTATTTTATGTGCTACTATTCAATTGACTGTCTCTGGATGAAAAGGGGTCACAGCAAATCTTAAACCTAGTTTACCACACATGTGTGAAAACTTCTCACAGGAGTTGTTGTTGCGATTGAGAGCAGGAATCTGGGCACAAGACCTTCTGAAGTCGGGGTTATTGAGACCCTGCTGAGATTTGGTTTGGCCAAGTACTGGCAAACTAAGCATACCAAGTCTTTCATAGTTTGGTGCACGTTGTCTGCAGTAAATATTTCTATTTCTTTCAACCATTTGGTTCCCCTTTTTATGATTGTTGGATTGATATAGCAGCCATAAGATTGGAAGGAAAATCACTTGGAATAATTTAACAAGGAAAACATTGTTTTCTAAAATAAAAACCCAAGATACTTATTCCTGGTTATTTAACGTGTGATCGATATTAGATGTAGTTATAAAACTGTAGCAATCTCATATACCAGGGAGGGCAATTTTCAACCTTCTAGCTAGATGGTAACTTTCCAAAGCAAATTTCCTCTGTACAATCTGCCCAATTTTCATTCCAGGTTTCTGACTCGGTGACAAAGTGAAATATGTTTGCATATAATGAAGAGGTATTTGGATGAGACTGTATTCTGATTTCCCTGTAGAATGTTGTACACACATTTGCGCTAGTATTTATTATTAAAAGTTTTGTACTTTCACCTGACAGGTTCTTTGTTGAATTAATACTTTAAATGCTAAAATTCCAACCTTAAAATAATGTAATCAGAGTATGGGGTCCAGAGACATCATATATTCATCAAAGCACTGTTAGTAGAACAATAGTAATAATATGCATTCATTCATGTGACAATCTACAGAAAGGAGAGTGTTCCTATCTTTTATGTAGACTGTTAAAAAGAGCAAGGACACATGTTTGTTTTAACGTACAAAAATCTGCATTTGGATAGCAATATTGTACAACTTCCTGAGATATTTAAGCAGCAGAATAGAAAGCTAATTATGGTGAAGAAAGTGATATTTTAAAATGGTTTAGGGGTAACAGGTTGGAAATAGATTAAATATATGTGTTTTAAAAATTACCTTATTGCTTAAAATAGAAATAACTATTCCTGATTTTTAGGGAACAGAGTTGAAGTAATTGTGAAATGTAAAATAGCCGTCTTGACTGCAAAGGTTCTTTTTTAATACAGCAGGTTTACTTGGCATCAGATCTGTTATTTGGGCTAAATTAAACAAAAGCAATATAAATTGGGAAAAAAAGAGTCAACCCTTCTCAACTTGCAGAAAATATCTCTAAATATTAAATGTTTATGGTAGATTCACAAAAACCTGTATTTTAAGTAAGAGCTATTATTTGCACTTTTTGTAAGACTCTTTCTTGGGGAGCATAGGTAAATTAAGACATAATCCTACAATAAATGTACGTTCAACAACTCATTAAAAAAAATCAATTAAATTTGCAAGCAATAAAATCTAATCAGATTTGGTTGCGTATCTAATGGCCAAACATTAATCTATTGCACTTTCTACTTCCTGACTAAGAAACAGACATCCAGACTCAAAAAGCTGTAGCAGAACAGAATGTGGAGTAGAAAATATTTCTCAGTACAGCTGGAATATTTATTACACAAATCTTTATTCACAGCTTTAATCACCTCAACTGTTAAGTTATACAAAATGAACTCCAGTTCAGTGCCAAATTTGTTCACCAATCTATTATCTCTGATATTGTTTCCATGATGAAGAATTTCAAAGCTAAGTTTCAAGGCCTTTGGCTGATACAGAATTTGCTGTATATTTTCATTAAACGATGGAATAATTTCGAGCTTGCTGCTGCTGGTTGCTTCATTTCTTATCTAAATCTAAAAGTATCCTACCATCTGTTTACCTTATTGACTACACACAGTTTAGAAATATTTTCATCTTTTAGTTTGCTAAATAAAACTTCTAGTATTTAGCTTTTTTTTGGAGATATATTAAAGTAATTTCAGGGCAGAGTATCTTCAGCAATATGAAAAGGGCAGTCAATTTTTAGCTGGAAAGCACTCCTGCACTATTTAGGTTATGTGCACATGATAACAATCAAAAAATTGCTAAACACAATTTGAATTGCTATCTCTCTGGTTAAGAGGCCACTGCCAATAAGCACCAAGTGGAACAAACTGCATAGATCTGATCAGAAAGTAAGAGTTTGCATTTTATATTCCTTTTGCAACATGAGGACATCCCAACATGCTTCTGGGACAAGTAGTTTAGAAGTGTATTCATTAGTACAGAATGTGCAGAATTCTTCATAACAACTTTGCTCAAAGTAAAGTCTCATAATAAACAGCAATGAAATTCATGACCAGATCATCTGCTTCAGTGATGTTGATTAAGCGGATTGTTAGCCAGGACATGGAAATCTACTGGTCCTCTTTGAATAGTGCTATCGGATCTTTTAGATTCACCTGATAGAGCAGATGGGGGCCTTGGATTAGTGTCCCATGGGAAGTGCACTTCTTAAAAACAATACCATACAGGACTGAAACATCAGCGAGGTTATATGCTTAACCTCTTGATTTAACCACAAGCATGCTAACACTGTGAGAAGTCTAATATAATAACCAATCTGAAGAACAAGTGTACTGTCATTTAATTGTAGACCATACACTCTTCCCTGATCTTTGGTTTTAAGAATTGTCACATCAATACTTTAGAGATTACATACTCTCAACCACACCTCCAATTATTGAGTGTAGCTATGTGTGAACAATCAAAAAATGGCTGCACCCAATTTCATTTCTCCAAATGAGTAAAGATGAGAGATTTGCAAATATATTGTATGTATTAATGTGGAAAAATTGCTATTCAAATTTTACAATTAGCTTTTGTCACTTTTTTTGGCATTATTCTAAAGTTAACCGGATTCATTTCTTAAGTATTGCATAGATCATTTAAAACAAACTTAAATAAATGTGAATATATCCTCAAGTATGTTATAATAAACAAAGACTTGGAACTGATTCTAACACTAAATGTTGGAACATTAGTAAGCCATGCAGACTTGAGACTTTTCTGCCAACGTATAAAGAATGGCCAAACTATATCGCTATTCTGTTTACTTGTCTTTTCCTCAATGTTAGAGGCATTAACAAAATCTCTAACCTAACTAAAATCTATCAATCAGTCTCATTCTTGTAATTTCAAATGACTTAACATTCTCAGCCCCTTAGAGAAAGGAGGTCCAGATTTCTACATATTGAAACAACACGGGAGACACAGATTTACGCAGGTTCATTCCACCCCAAATTTGATGGAACAGAATCTCAACCTGCCTCTGAAAGTCTGGCCCAAATTATCATGACTTGATGACCAGGCTGGCCACATGTATCCACATAGACACATTGAATAAAATGTATTTTCAAAACGGTGCAATGTTATTTAGCGGTGGAGGGGAAACAAAATGGGGTCTGATAGAATGCGTTCACTTCTGTACAGAGCCATCAAGTTCTTGTGGGCAATTCCTTTGGGGGATCAATCACCTTCCCCTCAAAGACTTGATACTTGAATTCCATCAAGCTCAACAGAGGGTGCAAAGTGCCAACCTCCAGGGGTGATCAGCCACTAGATCTCATTTGGCCCTTGCCCACCAGAAAAAAATGAAACAGAAAACAATGAAATGGAAGATACAGGGGAGATTCCTGGTGGAGTTGAGTTCTGTTCATCCCTTTGGGAATTGATATATCAGAGTTCTCCACATGGTTCATTGCTCTCACGCAAGCACTTGATGGAAAATGAAATCTGCCTCCTTCAACAAAAAAATAACAAGTAGATAATCAGGCTGGCAGTCCCTGGAGCAGTTTAACATGAAGGAAAATTTGGATTGTACTTCCTCACATGGTGAGGTAAAGTTGCCAGGGGAAGATTTGAAGGTGGAAAGGGTATGTAATTAAGCAAGTTAGTGGTGTACTTCAGCCCAACTCCTTTCCTATTTCTTCCAGACTTCTTCCAGAGTTCTGGGTGGGGAAGCCCACAGTTGACCTTTCTGACCTGCTACAAATTGAGACTCTTAAGTGGTCAATTAATAGCCATGTCTCACATTGCTGGTACAAACCCAGTGGCAGCTGAGACTGTTGTCAGCTTGCTACATCAAGTGGCAGGAGGGAGACCTCTGGTTCTAAAGGTATTAAGTATATAATCGAAGGACTGGACATCAGGTGGAGGGGCTCAGGGAGGCACAGCCTGCCCTTGCTGCTGAAATTCCATACCTTTTTCCCCATGCCTCACCTGCAAACCCCTGAATTACTTATGTGATCCGGCTACTCTGTGATCTTGAAGAACTTGATTGGTCTTTTTCTTGCAGCAGCCACTACCTTCCCAGTCATGCAGTAGACAAGACGTCTACCCTCAAGGGACTTGATTGGAGGGCAAAGCCCACGAGTGACCTTGTCATTGCCTTATTGGCTTGTTGTTCAGGGAGTTTCCCGAAAAGAGGGAGCATGGATCCCTTGCTGGCTCCCCAACAATAAGTGAAACACTCAGATCTCAACAAGATCAATTATTTTTCAAGTTAAAATTGAATGAGTTTTTCTTTCAATTTTCTCTGAAAATCGTCGTTAGATGCTTTAACAGACCTTAAAATACCAAAATGATGAAACACCCTTAGGTGTTCTGAATCGCACTTTATGGTTTCAATCTTTACCACTTCCCAGCACATACTTCTTAACCAGAATTCCAAACAATAATGTACTTCAATAACATAGCAATCACATAATCCCAACAATACAAAGTTGTTTTGCGCAACTATTCGGATTGATCCTAAAATGAAAGCAGTTTAAACCTATAAACATTTTCCATCCAGAAAAATATAAAAACACTAGAAATTCTTAAAATGAAATGATTTTTACTCTGCATTTACAATGTTTTCTTGGTCATAAAATCATTCAACATGGAAGGAGGGCATTTAGCTCATCCTGGCTTTTTGAAAGCGATAGCGGCTTTTTGAAAGAGATAGCCAATTAATCCTATTCTCTTGCTCAAACCCCATAGCTCCTCAACTCAAGCTTTTCCGATTCTAGCATTTATCCACTTTCTTTTGAAAGGTGCTATTGAACCTGCTTCTACTCTTCCAGCTAGTGCATTTCAGATCATGACAAAATTCGGTATTTTGTTTCTGTCCATGTCATTCTTTTGCCAATTACTTTTAACTGGTGACTTTTGGCCCATTTACTTGTGAGTTTTTTCCTCATCTACTCCATCAAAACCCTTCATCAAATCTGCTTTTAACCTTCTGAGCTTTAAGGAGAAATATCCCAGGTTCCCTGGGACTCAAGAAACTGATGTCTTTCATTTCTCAGACCTTTCTAGTAAATCACCTCAGCCCCATTTCCAAGGCCTTGACATCCTTCCTCCAGTCTTTATCCTTGCTTCGGCCACAAAATCTCAGCTGAGGCTCAACCAGTGTTCTATATTTTCATCTTAAAATAGCATTTTTTTGTTATAATTGCATCAGACAGCAGATGTAAAACAAGTTACATTTTGCTTTGGTTACAAATTACCAATAACATTACAAAATACACAACTAAACTTAAGAAAAGCAAGCTATTTGTGATGGGGAACCAAAATGTTTCCACTTACTAGGGATTTTACAATCTCAAGTCAGCAAATATGTTTGTTCTGTATGCAGAGTTTCAAATTGTAATAACTGTTAGCAAGAACATCAGTTTCATTCTGTACTGTAAAAGAAATGCTATCCTGTTTGAATTAAATGGATTGGCACTTCTTTGAAAATATTAAGGCCAGTTTTTCCACTTTTTTGTAAGTCTATGCTATATATGTTGAATAAACTATGTAGACTACATGCTTTCTCCTATCACATATTCTGTCTCCATCATTTGTGTGCATGTATATATTTATACAAACACACATATACATACAAGATTATATTCATCAATGCCATCTAATATGAACAAAAATGTACATATAGTACTGGTATGGGATGCTTTATTTCTAGCTGATAATTCCCAGAAGTGAGGATTACCATTGTGTTATCCAGTTAAAAGGAAAGGCTTTTGTCTAATCACTACGTGCCAAAAGTCTTGGCTTTTGTATAAGGTTATTTTTAAATAATCAGGCTCTTTGAAAGGTAATTCTACTCATCTTATAAAAAGAACTAAAGTGAGTGGATATCTGATTTACACTTTCCTTCATCTTTCTTGTTTGCCTAGCAAAGTTGCAATCAGGATGACAAATAACAGATCTCCAATCTCCTCAAACTCAATACCTAAACAACAGAAGAAAACTTTGAATGTTTCCCAATGCTATCTAGACAACAATGGGAAAAATAAATGGTATTTGGCACCCTTACGGCTAATATATAAACTGTATTTTAAAGAAAACAGTACCATTTTTTATTAGATATCAAAGGGATACCTAAAACTTGATATTTAATTTATAGATTGATTTTAAAAAAAGCTTTCTATTTCTCATTTTCCTTTAATAATTGAATATTGGTATCACAGAATAAAACACTTTTAGAAACTGCAATCTGCAATGGCTAGTCAGTAGACAGGGCACAGAGGGAAAGGTCATACACTTGACCATTATGCTTAAGATGTAATCATGTAAACAATTATATTGCAAATTCAGCTTGGGAAAGGAAAAAGGATATGCAACAGCACAAACATAATCCCAGTTATCCAATATGTGTTGGCCTTCTTTGTCTTATGATTTGGATCATATTCGCATACACAACTACTGCTGGCAGCAACTCTTCTGAACATCCTTCAATTGATTTTCAATTAGAGTACCTCCCTACCTTCCAATTACATTTCAAATGGACCTTTCTTCCCTTTATAACACAATAAATTAAATTTTAACCCTTTAAGAATAAAATTATCACTGAACAATATATTTAACATTAAGCACTTTTATCCCCTTTCCTCCCCAATATTTCAGTGCATTGAATTCTTAACAGTCTCATCCATAAGGAAAACTAAGTTCCTGCACTATGCTTGGCTCAAAGATCAACTTCAAATGGCATCAAGAGCTGTTCCTACTGTGCTTTATAAACTTTGTCTCATAAAAAATTCTTGCATTTGACTGAAACACAAGTTATCATAAATAGAACTAAATTAATGTGAACAGAAATGTTGATACACTGGTCCAGTTCTTTGTACTCTTAATCGTAAAAATATGTGGTCTCATCAATGTGGCCCCTTTAAATTCACGGAGAAGCAAATATTAGTAACTGTCTTTAGCTTTCCAGTTTGTTACCCACTGCTTCTTCTGTGTTTTCTTTTTTGTAAAACCTTCTGTGATAAAATAGCGCTCTTCTTTGCGGATCTTCACAGCATGATACTTTGGCATGCTCCTGTAGTATCGTGTTCTCTTGAAGAAGCCACACTGCTCAAAAGAGAAAAGGGCAGAAAAAAATTATAACGTGCATTTAGCGCTGTAACTAATTTGTGAAGAAGTGACTGACCAATACAACTACTGTGGGCACGTGGGTAACTTCTGGGAGATTAGATAAGAGTGCATGAAATAATAGTGGGAAATAAGTCAAGGAGATCCGAAACATGTTTTATCATTACACAAGAGTAAGAAGATAACAATAGAAACAATACTTCCCACTAAAGACCAAAAAGGTAGAGGTGGAAAATTTGGATATGCTTCCAATATTTTGCATCTGTCTTTACAAAAGAGGGGGGTGTGCATAACTTTAGTTGAGGAGTGTGCGTTACTAGGTATGATAAACATGAGGACAGAGAAAGCATGAGGGGAATAAATGTCCTTGAAAGTGGACAAATCACTCCAGCCAGCTGAAGTGTGTCTCAGGCAGTTAAAAGAAGCCAGGGAGGAAATAGCAGATGATCTGACTTACGGATTCGCTTTGGATGCAGGACTTGTGTTGGGAGATTGGAAGATTGATAGCATTGTACTTTTGTTTAAAAATGGGGTAAGGTATAGAACAAATAATTGAGTGAAGTCACCACTGCCCCAGTCTCCCAATAAAGAGAGAGAGATGACTGCTGGTGGTTTAATCTGAAGGTCACCACACCTCAGGCAAAGGGAGAAGTTGAGAAGGAAGAACTTTCATGGTACTGTTAGCTGGTACAGGAACTGAATCCATGCTATTGGAATCACTCGAAAATACAAACCAGCTATCCAGCCAACTAAGCTGGCTGACCCCACCAAAAGGCTACTCAGTCTAACCTCAGTAGATGGGCAAATGATTGGAATCAATTCTAAGTGGGTGAGGTGAGGACTCTAAGACAGGTAGTAAGCGTCATTGAAAGAAGTAAGTGATGTGAGGACCATACAACAGGTAGTCACAGACAGAGCTCATTACAGCAGATTGAAATTGGTTTTTACTGAACTACAAAAGAAAGAAGCTGGCTGTTTGGTGAGACTTCAGTTAGTGATTAAGATGATTTCTATTCTTTAATTTTAACATAATGTACAAATTGATGGTAATGTTAATTAAACATAGAAAAGGTAACGTAAGTAAGTGCATATAATTAAATAATTAAAACACATTAAAGGATATAATTCAGGTGATGTGTCAAAGCTGCAGCATACGGGAACTCCTTGAGCTTAGAGCTTATGAGCTGGAGGCTGAACTACAGACACTGCAACACATCAAGGAGGGAAAAGGAGTTAATCACTCCATTTAAGATAGGATCCTTCTTGGTCAGTGATCAGGAACAGGAAGGTATAATTGACAGTGAGACAGGTAAGGGGACCCAGAGGGCAAGGAGGGTCAGCCTCTGGAATTGTTGAACAAGTTTGGTGTTTTTTCAGGTACTTTGATGAAAACAGGATCTGCAGGTGGATGTGCAAACTGACCATGGCATAGTGGCATAGGATACAGTTCAAGTGGTGGGAGGCAGCAACAAGGAATATGGCGGTAGTAAGTGACAGTATGGTGAGGGGAATTGATACTATTCTCTGCAGTGAAGAACAAGAGCACAGATGGCTATGCTGTCTGCCTGGTGAGAGGAATCAGGGCTGCAAAGGGATGTAGTGGGTGGAGGAGGATCCAGTTGTAATGGTCCATGTCTGTAACAATGATGTAGGTAGAACTATCTTTCTGCATGTAGAATATGAGGAGCTAGGTACTAAATTAAAAACGGAATTTCAAATTATAATTTCTGGATTGTTACTTGAGCTGTCTGGAAATTGGTGTAGGATACATAAAATTAGAGAAATGAATATATGGTTCAAAAATTAGCATGGGATAAGTGGATTCTGGTCTGTGGACCACTGGTGCCTGTATTGAAGTAAGTGGGGACTATACTGTTGGGATGGTCAGCACGTGAACTGTGCTGTAGCCTATGTTCTTGTGAACAGCATATCTAGGGAAATAGGGAGGGTTTTAAACTAAATAGTGGGTTTTAAAGTAAATAGCAGGGACAACATGTCAAATGTGGAAATGTGTAAGATATTGAGTGTAGAGGCAAAGTAAGAGAGGATAACGGTTAAATAGGAAATGAGGGTCAGGGAATGGCAGGAAGGGACAGAAAAATCAATTTAGGAATACAACAACCAAGGCCTGACGTTACAAAGATAACAATAAAAATCAAAACTGAAGTCTCTGTATGAGTGCAGGTAGCATTCATAACAGAGTAAACAAATTAGGAATAAACATTGAAGTAAATAAACATGTTCTGATAGCTAAGACAGAGACATTGCTTCAGAATGACAAGGATTTAGCACTGAAATTAGGGGATATATGGCATTCTAGAAAAGTGGAGAATTAGGTAATGCTGGATGGGTAGCACTGTTAATCAAAGATGTCATTAGTGCAATAGTTAAAGGTGACCTTGGTTGAGGAGAACAGGATCTAGATTCAGTTTGGCTAAAGATGGCAGGGGAAACTAGCGGGAGTGATCTGTAGGTCTCCTAGCAGTAACCATCTCCACCTATCGATTACTTCTCCCCCTCCCCATCTTCATCATATATACCAAGATTTTCCTAGCTAAGATTAGTTCTGAAGAAACATTAACTCTGCTTTCTCTCCATGGATGCTGCTGAACTTTTCTAGCTATATCTAATTTTGTTAATAGAAAACTTCACCTGTTGACATACATACCTGTAGCGAAAGTGACAATGGACCTAATAAAGCTTTGTAAATCATGTCAAATGATAGCAATAATTCACTATGTATCATTAATATGAAATAAATATGTATCATTATAAATAGTATGGTGGTATTAGATAGCTTCCATGTGATATATCAAATTTCAGATTAAAAGTGCTCCTTGTGTGCTAAAAGTCTAAACAGTTGAGATTGATCATTCACTTCTCCACTTTTACACACAGGAAAGAAAAGGGGAAAAGAATCAAAGGTTAATAATGACTAACATCCACAATTAAAAGATTTCCATTAAAATCACTGCAATTCAACACAGTAATAAAACAATATGTTTAGTCTATAAAATGTTATATAACAAAGAGATTAAAAACAGTTAGTAAATTAGAGAAGAAACCACATAACCCAGGAAGCTGTTAGAAAGAAAAGTAGCAGAAGGTTAACTCACTCCACACAGAGAAAAGGGAAGGAAAATCAAAGTTGTTTATGAAACGGATTAAAGTAGTCTTTTCTCCTAAAGTTCTTTTTCGACATAGGAAAAAAGTATCCATGACATTTAATAAATAGTTGATTAGCATTTTGGTGATTATAAAATAACAATTTCACAGAAATACAAACAGAGTAAAGGTATCAAGGAAGAGGTTGAAGTAGTCGCAATCTTAAAAGTGAACATCACTATCACAATTCATATACAAATTGTTACTGAATTTCCATGAACATAACCACTTTGTTCACTAAGAAAACAATATAACAAGCAGTATAGGTTAGAAATTACTATTGGGATAAGGACAAATGCTTGCCTGGCTGACACTAGCTAATCAGAGTACCAGAGTCAGGAAGGACAAGGCAATCGCCCTCAGATTTCCCACTCCCAGTTTCTACTTGATCACTCCTGTTGAAAATCTAACTGTAAATATTCCGTGAGGTTTTAATTAAGGTTACTCATGTTCTCTGCCGTTCCTTGGCCTTCTGACATTTAGGAATTAATTTTTCTCCAATTTTTTGGATGAAATTAAATAGCAGATTCATGGCAGAAGTAGCAAATTTGGACAGCAAAGCTAATTATGGGAAGTTTTTAGTTATGATAATCCAGCCATCACAACACGTACTTTTGACGAACGAGCTGTTCTTTTGCTGCTTGTTAATTTTGTAAGTCCAATTTCTTGAACAATTCATGAAAGGCCACGGAGGGCGACTCATTTCTTGAGAAAGAAGCTGTTCTTTCAGCAACGGGGAGGTGGGGAGTGGGGAAAGAGACAAATCCTACAACAATGTCTTTCGATAGAAGTTAAAGCATAACTTCAACAACTTGAAGCTGGAGAACAATTTACATGAAAGATTATTCTTGGAGAAATTAATATTTGAAGAAAGGGAAAACAGACATCTAGCTTACTGTATTTTTTTCCCAAGAATAAATCCCCGAGCACCTCCCTACCACACCCTATTCAGTCACTGCACCCTGTATTACCAAAAAGTGCAGGAAGCGACGTTGGCCAGCATTAGTCACCATCAGTAAGCCGCTTAGTTTCTGAAGGCTGAATCTTGATTTCAGCCTTTTGCTTTTTGGCTTCATACATGGCTCGTGTGTTCGCTCTCTTGAAGAAACCACACTATAAAGAAGGAAGTTATTAAAGTAAAGTGATCAACAAACTGAAGTTGACTTTACAAAAAAAAAGGATCCAATATTTCCTTTTCACAAGAAAATTACAGATGAGTCTATGAATCTATCTAGAAGCCTGTTGCACATGTTGGTTACTACTTGAGTGAAGCAGAATTTCATAGTATCAGTCCTCAAGTTATTGTTACTGGTTTGATCATTTGTTCTCCTGTAATTCTTGGACAACTTGATTTGAAATAGTATTCCAGCTTTAGGTCCTCATCCAGAGAACAATTTCATTTAACTGTTGAGATCATCTTTAGAAGCTTCCTTTCGAGCATAAAAAAAACTTCACCAACATTTCTTCATAATTTAAGGTCAAACTACAAATCTTTTACATTGCCTGTAATGTTTGAATGACTATCTCACTTGTTCTGATCAGAACTACATACAGTATTTAAGCTGCATCACTATCAAACATTCTGACATTTTTATTGTTTTGCCTGTAGTTCAACATCCAGTTGTGGACTACAACTCTGCATAAGATGAACATGCTAATTGTTGAATTTAGACAGACTCATAAGCATCTTCAAGTGTCACCCCTGACTATTTTAATCCTATTTAAGTTTATTTTATATATTTCTTCCTATGCATCATACTTAATGTTTCATGTTTTGCTGTTATCTTTACATAAACTGTTTGCAGCTTTTTTTAGTTCAAGAAAATAAAAAGTCAATGATGAAATACTGAGGGGGCAGAGCACACAAGAATAGAGAACAATAAATTAATAGGTGAAGTCAGAGTAACAAAGAAAAAAATGAATCAGAGTTATGCTGTATATATGTGAATACACAGAGTATTTTTAATAAGATTGGGGAGTTACAGAACAGATTACCATGTGGGATTATGATGTTGTATTGACAAAACAGCCCTGGCTCAAAGAGGTCCTAGCCGGGTGTTAAATATTCCTGGTTGCACGGTGTTCAGCAATGACAGAAATTTTGGTCAAAAAGTGTACTGTATTTCCAGAAAAAAAAAAAGAGGATATTCCAGAGGGTTCAAGGACAAAATTAATTTTGCTAGAGCCAAAGTGTGCAATTATATTATAATCTATAATTATAATCTATAAATCTGCCACTAAGTGGGAAGAATGTAGAGGAACAAATCTATAAGGAATGTTCATACAGGTGCAAGCATTGCAGTATCAAATACATTAGAATATGCCACTTTATGGGTCAAAACAGATTTAAATGAACGGAAGCTATATTAGAATTAGATGACCAGCAACTGGAAGTTGCCAATATGACAAACAATATGGCAAGTCTTCATAGATGACCAACTGAAACAGCTGAAAAGATAGATTATTCCTTTAGTATACATTAATGCCATTTTTGTTTCAGTTATGCAAATATGTCAATATGAAATATTTTTATAAATATAAATCACCACCTAAATTTCATGTTGAACAGAATTGCCAAAAATATTGTGAAGCGTGAGATAAAGCAAAGTCTTTAATTGCATTGAACAATTAACTGATCTCGGTTCCATACTATCAATTAAAAATGTAAATCTGCTTGTTATCACTTGAAACACATAAAATCAAAATATATCATAGATTGGCCACAAACAATTTGCAGTGACTCTAACAGTCTCACAATAACCTGTTGTATTCCTTTCTCTTCATACTTTATTATTAAATATTAACACATTTTATCAATATTGCTTTCTCTTGACAAGTTTCTAGATGGATCTATTTGATTAAAACAATGTTCCGATGAAGCATTTGATTAATAGAAAGGCCAGATGTCCTGCAGTCCCTAGTTGCACATGCGGCATTTAATTTGACCAAAGGAATTCTATACTTCACGACTGAATAGCCAAGTGCAAAGAGATACGTGATACAACTAAATATTTGATAAGATAATGACATTTGAACAAAATATCTGTTGAATTACAATACATTATATTGTCTAAGCCATTGATCTGTTAAATACTTAATCGCAAAAAATAAACCTTAAACCCTTTAGGGGCTATTTTTCAAGTAAGAACAAATTGGCAAAATATTATTGTCTGGTCATTGACATCAATACATTCCATATGTGTATTAGCAGATTAAATTGATTGGGGTAACTGTGTAGACAGTGCAAAGTAATTATGCAGCAATCATACAAGTTTCTATCTACTGGGGAAAAGATTTTTTTTCTTTTCTTGATATAAGTAATGAGAGAGATCTTTCACTTCACCTAGAAACCAATGAAACCAAATATTGCATTTCATTTTGAACCTTAGTCTAATTTCAAATTGATTTTAGAATAATGACAGAGATCAGTCCTGAAAAACAACTGTGTGACGCCAGATGATTAGCAGGGCAAACAAAATGATAAGAGGATAATTCTAACGTCAATTGAGAGTATAAAATTGGCAATGTTGGACTTGCCACATGTTATAATTCTCCACATTTCCTTTCCCACTGGATGTTTTATGTTATCACCAAAATAATTAATACTTCAAGCATCAAAAAGACTCAACTTAGCATTCCCAAGCAGAGGCCAGAAGCATATCTGGGGTCATTGAAGAGGAACTACACGTTAGTGTGGTCCAACTATAGAATTAGATTCCTCAATTGCCATTGTGTAAACAATTGCTACCAAGAAACACCTGTACACAAGAGGAGAATTTGTATATGTCCAGATTGTAGGTACACCAATCATCTTCTCTGTGTTTGTGGCTTTTCTGATTTCTTGGCTTTGGTGGTTTCTGTAGCCTAAAATTGAGCCTAGAGTTTACAGAATATTCAGAGTATAAAAAGTGATTCTATGAAAATAAAGTAGAACATACCTTCCAGAGTAAAAGGATTATCAGACTCAATAATATGATTCCTGCCAGCACTGCTACAGCAATAATCCATTCTGGTATCTCATAAGGTGGTTCATCATCAACTTGGGATTCAACGTAGAGCAATGTCTGGATTAAATAAAAAGAGATGTCAAGTTTATTTCAAGAGAATGTCTTCAGAAAGGACTGGCCTCCACTAGTTTTGTATGTTGAATGAAACAATTGTACATTTGGTGGATTACCATCCTTTATTTAAATGTTGTGATACTTCTCCTGTACATTCATTCAGGAAAGGTCCACAATTGCTATATTGCATCATGGAAAACAATTTTTGCAGTGCTCACCAGTACAAGGAACTGACAAGAGAAAGCAGTCCATTCTTCTGTAAAACACTTCTGTCTAGATGCTCTAATGATGGCAAATTTTGACATGTTACCAACATTGCTATCTCCTAATTGGAAGGAACTGGATGCAATGAAGGAAAGGGCAAAGATGATTTTCACAGCCAATGGGACAGCCATCCACACTCGAGATTGAAGTTTTCTGGTTTCTGTGAAACTCAGTTGCTCCTTCCTTAGGCAAAGGCTCCTGAAGCAATGCTCATGCTGATTGTAATGTAGGAATGGTACACCGGTAAGATTATTCCCTCCTTCTGGGCATTTGCTTCTCTAAGCTCCATGTTCTATTCGGGCTGCAAAGCAAGTGTCAATCCAACTAATGCTTCCCGTGCCTATGCAAAAGGCAGTGTCCTTTCCTTTTTTTCTGTGATCAAACTCTACCAGCAAATCAGCGCAATGCTTTCATTAACTTCACTTGAGCACAAGTCAGCCAAAAGCTTCTGAGTTTTAATATGCTGAATGACCCTTTAAGTAGCTCTAGAAGAGGCCTCATCCTACCTCCTAGAAGTCAGTGTTTCTGAAATAAACAAGGAAGATGTTCCCTTAACACTTAGCCAATTTTAGTCTTTGTGCATTGCATTTGCTTGGTGATGTCAGATGTCACAATCTCTCTTCTGAATTCCTTCAGGTACACACAATCAGAACCTGCTATGCATCACTCCAGTTACCTCACTTTCTGTGGAAAGCAGCCTCCTCCTCATTTTCAAAACATTCAATGGTTTCTGCATGATGGGGAGCAGCCAGTATTGTGTAGTTGAGGCTGAGATGAGATCGGTCACGATCGTTATTACAGGACTGAGGGGCTGAATTGCCTAAGGAGGCTCCTAGTTATTACGTTCAAATCTCCACATTCCTGTAAGTTACCTCAAAATTTCTTCAAATTCTGACCTTGTGCAGCCTCCCATACATCCACCACCACTACTTCCATCACTCCATCATTTGCAGCTGTGCTTTGACCTGTTTAGATCTGAATCTTTGGAATTCCGCTCTTAAACCTCATCACCCCTGCCTACTCTGGATACCGTCATAATATGACCTTGTGTGATTCTGTATCAAATTTTGTTGGGTAAGGCTCTAGTGTAGCATCTAGAGATATTTTATCACACTAAGGCTGCAAAAGAAATGCTGGTATTTGATATAATTTCTATAACTAAACAACTTTGCTTTAATTTCACCTATATTCACAAATATGAAGAATGACACCGCACAGGTTCAAATGTTTATCGATTACAAGAAGATTTGGAAGAACTCACTGTCACATCTGGTTGTTTCATTTTGATAGTGGTGACGTTTGTCATCAAATGCAAGGATGCCTCTACCACTACAACAATCCGATCGTAGTCCCTGTATTCCTAGAATAGTAAAACAAATAATACATCTCAGGACTTTAAGTGATTCAGTAAACCTTCACAGAAACTCCAATGATTATGCAACAGGGAATAATCAGACATATTAAAAAAAAGTTCTTATTTTAAAAAGTGATAGCCATCAGCATTGTAGAAAAAAAATACTGATATTCAGGTGAGTCAATTTTTCAGCATACAAGAGGTTCGAATTAAATTCCTTGTGCTGAATGGTGATGCCTGAGACTCTACCAATCTTGGACCTCAGGCCTCATTATCTCGCAGCCAGTGAGCTGATGAGCCCCTGACACCAAAAACAAATGTAAGTCTATGCCTGGCATTGCAATGGCTTGAAGGCAGTAGGGGGCCAGGAGTAAATCAATGGGTGTGACTGCAGCAATGGTGGCATGAAAGAAAAAAGGTGACGCTTTGAGAAGAGTACTCCTTATATTCTCAGTTGGGTGTAGCAGGCAATTCTGGATTCTTAAAACAGGGCAAACCAGTCTCAGAGAGAGAACTCAAAACAGGCATTAGATCCCATGAAGGTTACATAGAATAGAACATAGAATTCCTACAATGCAGATAGAGACCATTTGGCCCATCAAGTCTGCACTGACCCTCTGAAGAACATCCACCCTCTCCCTATAACCCAGCATTACCATGGCTAATCCATCTAGCCTACACAACGTTGGACACTATGGCGTAATTTAGCATGGCCAATCCATCTAACCTAACCTAAGGTTTTTGAGAGAAGCCAAGGATATGGGAAAATCAAATCAGCCATTCTCTGGTTGAATGGCAATACATGTTTGAGGAACTCAGATCCCTACTCCTGCTCCTAATTCATATGTATATATTTACATAATTACAAGGACCTATCATTAATTATAGATATGGGTCGTGGTCGCATACTTTACATTCTCACCCAATACGTTGGCAGCACACTTCCAGCCAGAAATGTAAACACATTTTCTGCTCACCATATTGGAGCTTTAGTAGTCAGTGTACTCCCAAAGAAAGCAAGCTGCAATGACTAATTTTGAAATTATAGTCCTAGACTGAGAACAGAGACAACTTATATATCGTCTGATCTTTAGAGATTGTTCAAGAATGCTGCCTACAAGGGTTTAAATAAAGTACTTACTATTAGAATTTCTTTAAAATTGTAGTCTTGGATAAAACTGTCTTTGTTAGACAAGGAAAGCACAATTTTATTATCCAATTGTCTGCACATCTGTTTTAATTTTTAAAACTTGTTTCTAATGCCTGTCATTCATTGGTTAGTGAAGGAAATTATTACACTCATTCGTGGACTCAGAAATAACGTGCTTCATTGGAATTAACTTAATCAGATACCAAGGCACCGTTGTGGGCCACTGGATATAACAGAAGGGAAAACAAATTGAGGAAGGAAAAAATGGGAATTGTTGCAGTGTTCAATCTGAGATTGCACGTAAACAGTCCTTGCTGTTTGCCCATAAATCAACATTGGAAGATGCTGGAAAGAGGCTCAGGGTCAACCTGGGAGATAAAAGTGAAAAAAAAGGAAGTAATTCTCCAACTGACAAGATTCAATCCATACCTCCAGGAAGGTGCTGTTCCATAGACGTGCTCGCAATGTTACTGTAGCCTTTTGAGTCATGTTATGTAGCAAACAATTGAACTGCTTGCACCGGGCTGTGTATTTCTGGTTACAATCCTGTTAAAGAATGAATATTCAGCAGTATTTATTGATTGTTTCAGACAGACAAAAGTCATGTTGAAAGATTAAGTCAAGCAACACTAAAGATTTGTCCACCATATTTGGCTTTTTGATGAAGGCGATAATGACGTGGATGTGCTTTGGAAGGTATTTAAAGGTGTTAGTTAAAGGGACATGATCATTAGAGTTGCGAATCAAAAGGCACCACAATTGTCACAAAATACATTTTGTAGTATAGAATGTGTAAGTCAAATATCTGCAATGTATTATTTTGTTTACGATATAGCTTTTTAATATATAAATGTCATAATACCATCAGCATTGTCATGGGTGGACACTATTTTATTTTATGGTCTCAAGATGGTGCACTGAAGTTCATAACTGATAATTAGTTTCCACATGTGTGAAAGCACAGGCTTTTTCATCATATTCATTCACAAGATGAAAATTTACGTGTACATTTGTAACAAATTTGCATAACTAGTAATGCAATTAACAAAGTTATTCTAAAGTCTGGGAAACTTTAGAAGATAAACCTAATTAGGGTGGGAGGTGTGGTCCAGGTTTCAGTGAATTCTCTACATAGTTTCTGACAGATAGCATAGTTGTATGTAATATATAATGTGCCGTTACCAGTTATAACTGTCCAGTTGTTAAACTTGGGGTAAGTATCAGGATATCCAGTTATTAGAAGATTATCCAATCAGAGCTGGGATCTGCTGGGTCAGCTATCACAATTAACACCTTCAGAAATTTCTAAATCTAAACTTATTATAAATACTATTTTAAACCACAGAATGGAAACTCATCTCAGAAACGTGATCATGATTTGGTTAATGCTCCTTACATTGTAGTTACATATATCAATAAACTAACAACTCTTTCTTAAGAACATCAAAAATGGGAGATGTAGGCCACATGGCTCCTCAAGTCTGTTGCATCATTCAATAGCATCATGGCTGGTCTTTTACCTCAAATGCATTATCTTGGTCCCCTATCTCTTGATTTAGACTTCCCAAAAGTCTAAAAAAATTCAGTGCTATATATATTTAGTCACTAATCACCTACAACGCTTTGGAGTAGAGAATTCCAAACAGTCATAAATCTTTATTGAAGATTGATATGGAATTGTGACATCAAACAACATGTTCACCCCTGTGATTGATGACAGCTGGAAAACATGAGAAGTTATCTGGGCTAAAATTATTGTGCACACTGTAAAGCTAGTCAAAATTGGAATACTTAGAGCCGTTAAGCTCTGTCTGAGGAACAAGGTGTAAAATGGCAAGGCAATGTAAGGATGCTGTTAATATCCAAGTAAGCACAAAGTAAGTGAGAGCTAAGAGAGTGACCATACAGCCCAAAGATGCACTCAGATCCAATCATGTGATTAGTGGCTGGCCCTACGCACAAGTTTCCTGGCAGCAGTGTTACAATAAAATGTGTTAGCGCACTCCAAATTGTAGCATTGAAGTGATGAAGAATACAGTAAATGGATCAGTGATGTGCCCTGCTGATATTTCGAAAGCCAATGAATTGAGGTGCACGTAATTGCTTCCAGAGGAGTGTGTCCTGAGATGTTGGTGCTTTGTATCCAAGGTGGAGGTTCAGAGGAGCAAGTGGGAAGCTCGAGTAGCTGGTCTAACTTTCATGTGGAATTGTCATCTAGTTTATATCCAGCAGGTGCGAGAACAGCACACTGTATAATAATGATGTGAGATTAATTAATAAAGAGACATTGATGTATAAAATGCATAAAAATAAACACCTTGCTGCTGACGAGTAAGGATCTTTATCTCACCATTCAACACTTGGGTGGGAAATGGGACTTTTTACTCTTGATGTCTAGAATCTCCTCACTGGCCATCACACGCAATTTTCCCAACTTGCCCTCCATTGTGCAGGGACTGGTAAGATTCTACCCCCTATCTCTGTTCCTCTCTCCACAGATGCTGTCTGACCTGCTGAGTATTTCCAAGATTTCTATCTTTTTTCATATTTCTCTGGTGTATGAATCTAGTGCATCGTTGTTGAACTCTGTCCATAGAAGTACATCTATCCTTAGGTTAAGGACACTAACTGTCTATAGTATTCCAGATGCAATTTCACCAAAGTCGTGTAATAGCAGCTAGACTTCCTTACTCTTCTCTTGTACCCCAAAACCCTCACAATAAAGGTTAACATTAAATCTGGCCTCCAAATTGCCTTTGTACACAAAAATACCAATATCTGAGAATTGTTCCAAATCAAAGGTGTTTTGAATATACTCTGTCATGCACAGAAAGTCTTTATTTTGAACACTTTCTTTTATTACACCAACCAACGGAAAATGTTTGTGATGTTTTCTTAACAAGTATCCTTTGAGCATCAGCAGTTGCTTGACAACTTTATGACTATAACACACCAACTATATCAATAATGCCACTGATAGTGATTTTGCTTCATGTACCAAAATCAAGACTAAATCTCAAGAAGAGTACATCCAATGGTGCTATTTATCAATATTTGCTGTAGATTTTCACTACCAGCAAGGAATAGCAAAGCAAACATTTTCTTTGCAGTGACCAAGTGGTTTACTCAATCTAATCATTGTAATATTGGGAAAAACATCTCCTATAAAAGATATAGGAATTCATGCAAGGAATTCAGGGCCAGAGTGATCACCTAGACTAGGTTAGTTCCCATACTGCATGATACAAAGCATTTTTACCCATCTATCATTGATTATATGTTAGTATGCTATGACAAGGTGAAATTGGAGTCAACGTCCAGATTTTAACAACTGAGAATTATGCCACAATGTTATGTTGGATGTTACAGAACAGTTTGGAACTGCCCAAGATATTTTATTGAGAAACAGTAACATCTCACCCCCCCAATTGTTTGATCTCCATAACACGAATGGTTCCTTCAAAGTTTCTGGGTTCATGCACTTACTAATTGCAAGTCGCCTTTTCCCTTTTTCAGTGCGCCCGGTATTTTTAAATTCTTGGCAGCTGCAGGTTTCAATTCACGTTTTCTTCTTTGTGGGTGTGTTGTATGGTTATTCCTCTGAAAAAGAAATTTCAAGGTACATATTAATCTTAAGAACATGAGTGCTGTTCTCCAGAAACATGGCCAAATTTTTTAGATGGTAATTTTCCCATCCTATCACCCAAAGAATCGAGTGGGAATGCAGTCTCTCCCATCTCCACTCCCAACAAAGATAATTAATTGGAGGGAGAGAGAATTTCTGCTCCTCACATACCTATTGGCAAAGAACTGGAAAATTATTCCCCATATCTTGTCCTTCCAGTGCCTGACGATTGAACAAATCATGTATACACACTGATTATGGGCCAATCACAACCACCAAACTATATACGTCTAAATATTTGCCCTCAGCTCAACTGACATCTCTCTGTCTTACCCTATCCTCCCTCTGAGAAGCTTGTTCTTTTTTAACATGACAAATACTAAGTTGTCAACAAATCTATTTAACCCCTTTGATGTTCTGCAAACTTAGGACAATTATTGATGCAAGGTTTAAAGATTCTCAGTGAAAACTTCAGATTTCTTTGGAAAAATTGGCTCAGGTGATAAACTATCGAACATTTATGAGTCTGTGTAAGTAGCATTTGTTTTCTTCTCTTATGTCCAGAGGACGGGACCCACAAGGACAGCCAGCTATTTACATGTCAATGTTGCTTCCTTCCCAATATGGAATAGCTTATCTCTCCCTGATACTTTTGGTTCTTAGTCCAGTTTAAATCAGTAACATAACTCGGTGCGAAGTTGTGGTTGTAAACTCCTTCTGCAACCATGAAACAATATATAATTATTGCGGGTTTTTTCAGTTTTGAGATCACATTTAGCACAACATTCTGTACATGGGAGCTAACAAGCAGGAATGTGATGATGACCAGGTGAATTTTTGTGATGTTGATTGAGAAATAAATGTTGACCAGGGCACTGGAAATTAATCCCTTATTTTTCTTTAAAATCGCACAATCGGATCTTTTACATCCAACTGAGTAGGCACATGGAGCCTTGATTAAACTTTGCATCCAGAAGATGGCTCTACAGCCCTCTTAGATATCTGCACTCCTCTCATTTTGTGTATCCATTTTTAAATAACCTAGTATTAATGACTGCACCTTCATTAGCCCTAGAAAACCTGCCATCTCTTTCCTCATCTAAGAAACTCCTTAATACTTACCTGTTTAACTATTATTTGTTCAGCTGATCTAATATGTCATGTAGCTCAGTATTGTTTCAGAGATAGTAGGAACTGCAGATGCTGAAGAATCTGAGATAACAAGGTGTAGAGCTGGATGAACACAGAAGGCCAAGCAGCATCAGAGGAGCAGGAAAGCTGACATTTTGGGCCTAGACCCTTCTTCAGAAAAAGGCCCGAAACGTCAGCTTTCCTGCTCCTCTGATGCTGCTTGGCCTGCTGTGTTCATCCAGCTCTACACCTTGTTCGCTCAGTATTGTACTTTGTTTTATAATGTACCCATGAAATTCCTTAGATGTTTTAAAGGTGCTGTACAAGTACAAGGTATTGTTAATGCCAATGTGTGAATAAAGTTAGAGATGTTTAATTGCAATGAATATTGAGAAAATATCCAATTACCTTTAAATTCAGCTCATTTACAATGTTCCCTGCTGGTACGCAGTACTGGTTTTCTGTCCCATTCATTTCAATTTCAGTGAGATACAGCAACCACTTCCCATTATTGATTTCATATGGCCACAAAAAACTGAGGTACAGAGTTCCTAAGTCGCCCAAAGGCTCTCCATGGTTCGTCACCTGTAGAAGGAGTTTAACATAGAAAAATGTTAGCATGTTAATGTGTGCATTTTATGTCTGTATCTAACTGGTCAGCTACAGAAATTAACAGTCACTGTACAAAATCCATGAAGAATGGATTACTAATTCGATTTAGTACATCTTAAACACTGCATCTTCATCTTCTGCACACAGTGTAAACAAGGGCGCAGATAGTGTTTCTGCAATTTTTTCAGGAGAAAGTAACATTATGAGTTTTTTCAGCATGATTTATTTTACTGCCAGTTTGCTCAGTTGGTGGGATGGCTAGATTGCAATGCAAAGTGATGCTAACAGTGTGGGTTCAAATCCTGCACCGGCTAAGGTTCGCATGAAGGATTCACCTTCTCAACCTCTCCCCTTTGCCTGAGTCATGGTGACCCTCAGGATAAACTACCACCAGTCGTTTATCTCTCTAACGAGAGAGCAGCCCTGTGGTCTGGTAAGGCAATGGCAACTTTACCTAATCTATTATGCCATGTATTTATGAAGAAATTAGAAGAGGCTTCAAAAACAAATATCTAAGTAAAATAAATGTGCGCATGGGAACACACACCTCCTGCATTTTAAGCCCATCCCAACATGATAGGGAAATAATGATATTGCTTCTAAGCACCCGGTTTACCTATTCTTTATTGATTTTATTTCAAGAAGCAAAATCAGTGGACACCTTCTCCACAATTGACTTGCAAAATGTCATTGAGTAAGATGTTCTGTATTTCAGTTTCACACAAGAGTACAGAACTTTGAGAAATTTCTTTGCTGTGCGCACCTCAAAAGTGAAGTCTGCAGGACTTCCTATAGCTTCAAACGTCTTGATTGCACTCTCACCGATGACAGTACCACTGAAGTAGGTTTGCTGTATTTTCTTTTCCCTAATGAAAATGAAGGAAAAAAAAAAGAGTTTTATTGGGATGCCACAATATCACATTGGTGAACTAATGTCTCGTTGGATTAACCTATAATAACGGTTTGTGAACTAAAGCAAAGGGATTAAGTTGCTAACTTTGATAAACTGCTTTGGTGAATAAAGGAGCAAGGAGTAACCAACTGTTAAAGGTTTGTTGGTACACTTGATGACTGTAGTCGATCATCTACTAACCAGAGTTCTTATACTCAGTTGCAATGTAAAAACAATGATCTCAAACACAGTAATTGCAGAATATACATTTGAAGATAGAAAGTTTTGCACTTCTTTAGTAAAATATAACGTGTTGCCATTGCCAAGATGAACTCCACCTACAGAGTCATTGGCAGTGACATCACACTGCCACAACATGTTGCAGTGAAGTCACTGACATAAATGATACCCTCACTAGCCTCGCACTGCTCGCAGCTAGTATCCTTGGCATCTGGCTCTCTAGCTCCACTCGGATCAGATTTTCCCACAGCTCTGCCCACTCATCTTGACCCGGCCTCCCCTGCTCCATTCCCTCACTCCTCCCCATTCCTCCATCATCATACTCCCCAGTCCACCCTGTGCACAAGGATCTCAGATCTCAGATGATGGTAATATTGGACAAGTTAGATCCCAGAATTAAACCTGGATGAAAGACCATATGTTTGTTTTCGCAGTTAGTCACTGAAGCATATTCGCACAAAGCTGCAGATGTTCTTTAACAATAGAGTCACAGAATGCAGAAAAGACCTTTTGGCTCATCATGTCCATGCTCACCAATTCATGCTTGGTTCCACCACTTGGCCCATAGCCTTGAATGTTATGAAATTTCAATGCTTATTCAAGGTTTTTAATGGTTGTAGGGTTTCCTACCCAAACTCCCATCCCAAGCAGTGCATTCCAGAGTCCTACCACCCTCTGGGTGAAAAAAATCTTTCCTCAAATCCACTCTAAATCTCCTGCTTTTCACCTTAAAATTATATTTTCTCATTATTGTCCCTTCAAATAAGGGGAAGTAAGTTTTCTCTGCTTTTAAAAAAAAGACAATTTGAGCCTATCCAGCCTTTCATCATAGCTAAACTGCTCCAACACAGGCAACATCCTGATAAATCTCCTCCGCACACCCTCACTGCAATCACATCCTTCCGATAATGAGGTGAGGGGCAGAAATGCACACAGTACTCCAGCATTCAGAACATACATTTATTACTTCCTTATGCTTCTCATTAAAGAATGTTCTGATACATGATAATTCATAAGTATCATTATTGTAAATCTACATTCTATAATTCAAGTTATGATGTTACAAGTGTCATGTTATGTCTCACAGCCTATATGCCAGCACATCTTTAACATAAATGCTAATGATATCATCACTGCACACGGTATCATAGCACGTGACCCCAGGGTTTAAGACTCATACACCATCTTACGAAGCATGACATGTAATGGAAGCATACTGCTGTTTACAGCTGAATAGCTTAATAAGAGCTTAGGCCCTGATCTGCTTGGGAAGGTACTAATTATACATATTAGTGAACTGTGATAAGTGTCTGTTGGATTCTTCAATACCATGTGATCCACACTGAGTTTCTTATGTTATGAGAATTGCAGTTACATTGTTTACTGAATCCCAGGTGCTAGAAAAAAATTCAGCCTTTTAAGTAAAGGCAGCATCTTGTTAAGAAGTATCATGTAAATCATATTTCCAGGATGTAAATAAGCTCAAATTATCTGTAATATACCGATTACATACTTACACAGAAAGGCTAACTTGTAGCTGAATTTCCACAGATACTGATGCTAAAACTGGGTTCAAGTCACTTTGTGTACTTTCTCTGTTTGTAAAATAATAAAACGTACTTGAGTTACAATTTATACAATTCTTAATTTCATGGTTACATCACGTAAAATTGGTGCAACAAACTTCTTTTGCTGTGGTGCAGTGAGACATGTATTTTCGCCAGTGATTATCCATATGATGGCCAACAGCTTCCAATAACTTAATCATTGAACTGGACAGGAAATCAAGCAGATATAACAAAGTGTGGAGCTGGAGAAACAGGAAAGCTGACATTTCGCGTCGGGACCTTTCTTCAGAAATAGAAATCTGAAGAAGGGTCCTGACCCAAAACGTCAGCTTTCCTGTTCCTCTGATCCTGCCTGGCCTGCTGTGTTCCTCCAGCTCCACACTTATCTCTGACTCCAGCATCTGCAGTTCTTGCTATCTCGGGGAAATCAAGCAGATTGTTTTTATGCAATAGAGTCATCAGAAAACTTAATGCTACAGTAACCATTTCATATATCAGGTGAATGGAATAGGAAACATTTAGGAAGACTTTTTTTGTCTTTTTAAAATGTGGTCCTCTCCCCAAATGTTCCACTGTAGTTATTTTTCCAACACTATCCTTGGAAAAAAATCCAAATCCCAACAACTTCCTGCATAAAATGATTCTTATCACTTTTTGCTTCAATTTCTTAGTGATCATTTTGAATGTTTACTCTCCAGTAATCATTTACTAACCAACCATGTGAACATTCTTCCTTTTTGCGTCAACAACATGCACCCTCCCATAACCCCACCCTCATCTCAGTTTTGAGGAACTCATTCAGATCTCCTCTCAATTTTCTTTGTTCTAGCTAAAAAATGGACGATGTTTTAGCCTCTTCTTCACAAAAGTGTTTTCTTCTCTCTCTCTCGGTATTTTCATAAATCTTATCCTTGCTTTTACCATGGGCTGGGATTTTCAGTTCTTTGTATTTGTACCTATTCAGATATTAAGTGATTTATAAACAGTTCTAATAAATGGATAACCTAACTGCATCTTTAATTCAAAACATCAGCATTTTTTCTAGAATCTTCACAGGGCTGGAACTTGTTGGACCGAGTGATGGTCAGGGAACCAGAGGCGCTCTTAGCAGTTATGTTGTGGAGCCCTGACAGAATCACGGGATCTTTAGATACTGAAATAGCCACTAAGAAGCCTCCCTTGTGATTGAAGTCCACATCTACCAAAACCCCAGCCACTGGGAGCTGTCAGCCAATCTCAATCCACCCTCAATCAATCTCAATCAGTCTTAAGTTACTTCATGCTGTCAGCGCCAAGTGATGACTTCGGTCAGCACTGTATTAATGAGGGACTGGGGAATGTCATGGGATCCCAGATCAAATATAACTAAGGGTGGTATGAGAGTTGTGGGGTGGAGGCCATGGGTGGGGTGCAGTTTTGTCAGAGGCCAAGGCACAGGAGTGGGGGAAAGCTTTCAGCAGCTCTCTCCTGCTTGATGCTGGGTCCCTCAATTAGGCACAGTGTGACCAACGATAAAGGACTTCCTCCTTTTACCTCTTCCCTAATCCCCAGCTCCCCCAAGGCTGTGACAGCCTCTAAAGGGAAAGGCACTCATTAAATCCCTGAGGCATTATTAATTTGTGCTGGCCTCCCACTGCTAAGGCCAATCCTAACTTTATTAAGAAAATATGGAAGCAGGAAGGGACAAATTCTGAGACAAAAAGAACTTTGTTTTCAAAATCAATCTGGAGATGGAGTTTTAAGAAAAGTAAGTAACAAAAAAAAATTGAAGCAAAAACAGAAGTTGCTGCAAAAGCTCAGCAGGTCTGGCAGCATCTGTTGAGTCTCTGCAGACCTGCTGAGCTTTTGCAGCAATTTCTGTTCTTGCTTCTGATTTACAGCATCCACAGTTCTTTCGGTTTTTATTTTCGAACATATTGAATGCTTACGTTTGAAGTTGGAGTTCCACATCAATCTCTCTTGTGTTAAGAGTAATTCCAGTTACTTCTAGAATTACGTTGAGCGTAGCCTACAAAAGAAAGATGTGCCAATATTAGGCTTTTCTGACGTTTATGTTTGCTGTCAAACTTTTTATCAATTTCACCTCTCTGCTTCAAACAGAATTTGAGATCAGATTAAAACTGGAGACTTGTGAATTTATTCCAGCAATTGTTGTTCTTCACCTCGATCTTTGACTCAAAAGTAGGAGGGCAGATATTAGCACGCCCACTGTATCCAGTGCAGTATTTACAATTTTCAATCTCAGAAAAATTTTAAAATTAAAAACAAATCAATAGAAAAATGCAATTTTGCTAGTAATTGTTTTATTGAAAATGTCATAAGTAATGTCTTTTCTGAACTTGGGACAAAACAAAACAATAAAAGCCCTAGAGAGTGGGACTCATGGTTTAAATCGCTACTCCTACAGATTGCCTATCTCACTTGTGCTATTGAATGGCAGAGCGAGACATGGTTATTGGAGAGGGGCTACAGAGAATCAATGGTGGTCAGTTCCTGTACCACAGTCAAGGGGAAAATTGATTCAAATACCCGCCTGGTACCAGGCTGCCCTCGATATTTCCAAAGGGCTTACTTTTCTAGTTGTATCTAGTCACCTGTTAACCTGTTAACACATGTACATATCTGCATTACTTTAGCACAAATTATCAATTCATTTGGCTGTGAGGCATAGCAGGGTGAAAGATCAGTTGCACTATTGCAGTCATTTAGAAAAACAATAACTTAAGGAAATATATTTCAAATATAGCGTGGAAGTTTTAAAATGACAATCTGCTTAACATTGTAAATCATGCTACCACATTAGTTAAGGTGCTTGTAATTATAAAGGGTAGTTTCACCATCTAGTGGTCAAGAGTGATCATTGCATATGTTTGAAATAAGTCATTCCAGATTGCATTTTGTGAAGAAGGGTCTAGGCCCGAAACATCAGCTTTCCTGCTCCTCTGATGCTGCCCGGCCTGCTGTGTTCACCCAGCTCTACACCTTGTTATTCCAGATTGCATTTTGTGATTGCACTGGAAGCAAATGGAAAACATGGTTCGCACTCTTCATATTGATCTTCCTTTTGTTGTATGTGCGCACATGTTTATCCATGACCTTTCCTGCAGTCCGTCAAACAAACAAATAGTCTAACAGAGTTTTCAGAAGGCTCAGATGAAATCTTAAAGGAAATGTGACTTGCATTATTAATACATTGAACAGATCCACACATTGGGGGACAGGGTTGCTACCTCTGAATTATTGCAGAGGACAGCCCAGCTTTGTTTGTGGACAAGGCTTATTGGTTACCCACAGTTTTTTCAGCTCTCTCTCACACCTCCAAGCAGTTTTAACATGCTCAAATGGGATATATGCCATCATGTCAGCTCAGCTGGTGAGCTCAACTATGCGAGGATATGGTCAACATCTTCTGGACTTCAAGAGGGGTGTCACTCTTCTAACTGCATGCATTCTGGAGCCAGGGAAGCGGACAATGATCTAAGCGAGAGGATAATGGATCTGAAACAAAAATGCCAGCAAGATGTGTGACATATCCAGGGCATACTCCTGACAAAGAGGATATTTAGCCAGTCATCTCAGAAAAGGTTGGGATCTTACAGTGTACAATCCCACAGTGAGCAAGTTAGTCAGGCCACAATTATGCTGTTTCTTACAGATGAAGTAGCTGGCACAAGATTGCATCCAAATTTCATCAACAGGTGGGAACCTGAAGAGTAAAATCCATTACATATACACCCAAGAATGTTATCTGCCAAGGAGTTTCATAAAGTTAAAAGCAATTATTTTTATATGGAACATATTAAAGCCTCAGCTTGTTTCTATGCAAATGGGAAGAAAGGAATTAATGCAGGAATGACAAGTGACTTGAAATAAATGAAAACATTCAAAAAAGTACATCTATTTTTCAGAAAACAGCTTCCTCTGATGGTTTAAGGCGTGAAAGGGTAAAATTTGGATGCTACCAGTGACACCTTTCAAAGTTTCAAATTAATACCTAGAGAAAGCATCCAATAGTGAAGCTATGAAACTCAAACTATGAAACTCAACTCTACAGAACTCATTTGATGGAAGTGATTATTTCCTATAGAGATAGTGGACTCTGACATCCAGAACTACAACACAGATAATCTATTCAATATCGAGGAACACAATATGATGATACACTTGATGATCACTGATTACATGCTTGTCCATTTAAACCTGATAGATTATGATTGAATGCAAATAGTAAATCACCTACCATCTGATTCTTCTTGAAAGGATTTCCCAATTCACAAATCACGGTGTAACGATCTGCAGGATCGCACCTGACTAATTCCTGAGAAGGAAGACATAAGAGTAAGTTTTCATTTTCCACCCTCTAGTCTCAGAATGAAGGCCGCAGTGTACGTCTGTTAAATTGGTAGCTCCACAGTGCTCCACTATGAGCTCGTTGGTGGGTACTCAGCAGTGAAGAGCATCAACGCCAGAGTTGACTCCAAATTAATATTGCACATTGTTGACAATATGCATACTTTTCAGCTGCAGTCACCAAATAGGACCCTGCCCAATTTTCTCTTAACTATACAATGGTGAATGCCTGGGCCGAGCACGGCTGAGATCAGCCAACTCAATATAGATCAGAGGATCAAATAGGGGAACGTTCTAAACTCTATCGGACAGGACTACAGTAGTAGCGTGTTGTGTGATGTCTCACCTTCAGTATGTCAGTATACATTGAACAGACATGATCAATAATATATCATCACTGCATCATAGTGTGTGACCTGAAGGTGTAAAGATCTCAGACCCATTCCCATTACTTGGAAGCACCTGAAGTATGCTCTTCTGCTGTTAATGTATAGCTTAACACTAGCCCAGACACTTAAGTCTGTGAATGTAGTAATTGTATTTAATAGCCAGCTATAATCAAACATCTGTTGGATCTTTCAATTCCACATTCTCAGTGCTTAGGTTACATTATGAGGGATAACATAAGCATTGCTCCATTAGGTAAAGCCCAATATCTAATCTCTAGTGGTCAGGATCACATTAGCAGTGCATTTATTACGCACCATTGTGATGTGGTGGTGTTAAATGATATCTGAACTAACTTAATCACAACAACAACAGTAAATTTGGGCACCTGTGTGGGAAATAATGACCCATGTTTGTCAAGGGCCAATAATCGCAAACCTGCAGTGCAAATTGGAGTTGTAATCTCAAGACCTCAAGGAATCCCAGGTAGAGCTAACTCTGAGGGAATTGCCCAAGAAATTGAAGATTTTGATGGACAATTCAACTGTACCTGGAATCCTCTGAAAGTATCCATTTAAATTTGAGAATTCAGAGGCTTCCACTGTAGTTACCCGGGAAAAGACAGACAAAAACAAACAAAGTCTAACTCTTGGATAAGGTGATCCCCACCCCTCACAAGCTACTATTCACATCCCACTGCACTTCTCCCAGAACCCTTACAATTAAACTGATCACCCGCTGTCAGACCCAACATCACTCCCAACTCCTCATTCCTCAGACTTGACAAACCTGACAACCATTGGTCTTTCTGCCTCAGAGCCGATATCTCCTGTCCCCTTTGCTGGACTTGACACCTGCCATCTCCTGGCTAGAAGCCCTTTATCCCTGACTTGCCCTAAACACTCAATTTCTTACTTGGCACCCTTCCCACATTGCGTCATGGCACCCTGCCCAAGGTGCACCATTGCCACCTGACACTCTACCCGCAGACTTACATCTCAAAGTTACCCTTTCATGGAGCTGTTAAAGTGGCTCGTGTGCTGCTGGACATTTAAATCATAAAGCATGGCAATGACTGCTGTGATAAAGGGCCATAGTTTGCCTTTCCCTGACCATCTTGCACTAGAGGACACAGTTGAACTGAAGGTATATTCTGTATTTTTGCAGGGTTCATGGCTGGAAACACCTACCAGGAATGCGGAGCCCTTGAGTAATGTAAGTATTTGGGAGCAGAGTGGCAATTTGATCATATTTGTCCCATATTTTATGCAATTGTACTTTGCTCTTTAATCCAAAACAACTCGTATCAAACAAGATTCCGAATCAATATAGAGCTGAAGCTTAAGGTAATCAGCTGCCAAGCTCCCAATAATGAGAAACATTAAGTACTTGTCCACTTACTGCACGAATACCAACATATGTCAATGTATCAGGTAGGGTGATGTTGAGCCTGGCCTGGTGAGCATCTTCGCCATTATTGGCATTTGTTGGGAAATTTGTAACATTCACTTGCAACACAAGCTTATTGGAATATGGGTTGGATTGAGGATCAAAGTCCAAGATTTGCTTGCCCTTTTTTCTGAAATGAAAGCAGAAAGAAGGAATCAGTGCCAGCCTAGCTTAAAATATGCAGCAGCAATACAATCAATCGTAAATTCCCCTAATAACATTAACATTTCCTCCTGTAATTTCCATTCTTTCCTTCCAACTTTACTCTCTCAAATCTTCAATCTGTGTCAGCAGGGTTTAATTCCCAATTTGCCTGTAAATCTGTGACGAACTCTCCAAAGATGACAAAAAAAAATGCTGGAGATCACAGCGGGTCAGACAGCATCCATGGAGAGAGAGCAAGCTAACGTTTTCGAGCCTAGATGACTCTTCATTGGAGCTGAAGTGAAGTGTGGAGGGGGCAGCACTTATGCAGTAGCTGGTGGGGCAGAGGTGTTGGACTGCTGGGGGGCAAAGGGTGCTGATAATTCAGATTAAGTGATCGGAAATTGAGAATGGCAGAACAATGGTTTGTCTAAGTGCCAGACTGGAAAGAACAGACAGTCCCACTGGGGTGGGGGGAGGGGAGAGAGGACATGGAGGCAGAGAATGTAACAAGCAAAGCTCAAAAAAAGGGAAGGAATGGGTTTACAATTTGAAGGTGCTGAACTTAATATTGAGCCCAGAAGATTGTAACATGCCTAGTTTGAAGATGAGATGTTGCTCCTCCAGTTTTTGCTGGAGCATTGCAACATGCTGAGGACAGACAAGTGGGCATGTGAGCAGGACGCAGTGTTAAAATGACCGGTTAATGGAAGGTCAGGGTCATGCTTGTGCATGGACTGGAGGTGCTCTGCAAAGCGGTCACCCAGTCTGCGCTTGGTTTCTCCAATGTGGAGTAGGCCACATTGGGTGCAATGAATACAATACACAAGACTGGAGGTGGTACAGGTGAAGTGCTGCTTCACCTTGAAAGACTGTTTAGGCCCTTGGATGGTGAGCAGAAATTTAAAAAAAAACAGAAAATGCTGGAGAAACTCAGCAGTTCTGGCAGCTTCTGTTGAGGGAGAGACAGTATTAATGTTTTGAGTCCAATATGACTGGCAGTTCTAAAGAAGAATCACCAAATAAATCCAAAAGAACTGCAGATGCTGTAAATCAGGAACAAAAACAAAGTTGCTGGAAAAGCTCAGCAGGTCTGGCAGCATCTGTGAAGGAGAAAACAGAGTTAACATTTTGGGTCCGGTGACCCTTCCTCAGTTCTGCTGAGCTTTTCCAGCAACTTTGTTTTTGTTGTCGCGAAAGAAGAATTATACTGGACTCAAAATGTTAACTTTTTTTTCCCTACTTAAACATACACACTTGCATGCACATTTAAACACACTTCCCACATCCTCCTCTCCACCAGCTCTCAAAAATAAATAACAGCCAGATGCTACCAGACCTGCTGAGTTTCTCCAGCATTTTGTTTTTATTTTATCCAATACACCAGCCTTTCCTTTTTTTCCCCTTACCTTCTTATGGGATGGAAAACCTCATTGTTCCCCAATCTGCCAAATGCATGTTTCATTTGGAGGTTGCTGTTGCATGTGCGGTCATCGCCACATTCCTTCTGAATATGTATCTGCAAGAAGCATTTCTTGTATATATTAAAACAGGAAATCCATCAAAAAGTGCAAAACTAATGCTGTGGAAAACACTTTTTTTTTAAATTTAAGTTTAGCCAATATAAAGGATTATGGATTTTCCCATCGTACTTGGAAGAAATTTATTGATGCCTATCCAAAACTTAGTAATTTTAATTGTCAAATACCCTCCTGCCCCCACCCCCAACCCAAATCCCTTTCATACCCTGGAGTTATAACAGCTGGTCCCTGCTCACATTCCAACAACCTGTTAAAGTGCCATTAATCACATCCAAATGTAGGTCATTCTTGAGATATTCAACCACATACTAATCCTACTCCTGCACTAAACAAATTTTCACACATGAGGACTTGCACCACAGATGACTAGATAATCAGAAGAAAAAAATCCATTTCCTTTATTAAACCCTGGAGCACGAAGGCCATTTCCGTAACAGAGGTCACATCACTCAGGACAGACCAGTGATCAACATAAGATTTCTGATGTGTGTGGCTTAACTAATATCAGCAAAAATGTGAAGAATGTTTGACAATATTCTTTTAATCAATGTATTATTACTAACAATAGTTATATGATACAATCATGATTTTTGTTTACTTCATTTGTAATTAAAAAGAAACTTTTTTGCCGCTCTCTTGTATTTCCAACAAGAAACAAAAAATTCCCAACATGTGACATGATTCTTGGCTCATTTCTAGGTCCTAACTTCCTATACGTTTTCTTGAACTTCCTCTTATTGTTTTGCACACTCCCCCTTTTCCTCACTGCTTACTGCTCTTCAGAAGTCACTGATCTAGTGATTATATGTCCCACCTTACCTCTTCCAGGCCAGTATGGTCTTGCAATACATTCAAAATGGGATAATTATTCATTTCAGCCTTTCTTCCTCTAGCTTCACTGTTATTGTCAATAGAATAATTTAGAGCGACCGAAATAGGTTGAAGCTTATCCTCCACGTTGTCCTGTAAAATGCAAGGAAGATTATTTTAGTGCAAATAAACATCAGGAATTTGTCATTGCCAAGGAGACTAATACTATATTAAATCCCTGATGCTCAGTTAAGACTTCAGGCTTTATTGTACTCAGTTGTTCAGCCTTAGAAGAGCTAAATCTAAGAGCATTTGAATTAGTCTTAGAGAGAGAAATAAGCCAGAATTTTGTGACAGGAAGTTCTTGCAAATGTTGAGATTTTTAAGTCCACAATCAAATAGGATAATGGCTGGAGGATACAGAAATCAATATCAGAAATTCTACATGTAATAGAAGAAGTTAACAGTGGAATACAATGAATCATAAAAGATGAAATGGGATGAAGATGTTGTAACAAACAATAGATGACAAGGGATTGGAACAAAGAGAAGAGCAAAAATGAGAAAAATTAGACAGTGCTACACACACTCGACAAAAAGTTAAAGATGAATAAGTATGATCAATTTAGATAAGCTGAACAACAAAGTACAGAGCAGCATACAAAGTAACTGAATGACTGCTGGGGAAGGTACAACATCAATAGGCACACTTTTCCCTTCATTGGTGGTGCCTGCAATTGGATAATTTGCCCTAGAGTAATATTCCTGTGCACCAATTAAGTGCCAGGAAAGAAGGTCCACTGGGGACATTCCTGACTTGGCAGTCCTTGTGGTGAATTAACAGTCACTTATAGTCCTCAACACACCCCCTCCCGGATTTCTCGCCTGCTAGAAAGACGGGTAAAGTGGCTGGTTTTCTGACTGGGTACTGGCATGACTGCCTGCCCTTAATTTTGTTTACCTTTTGCAGCGGCAGGGGTATGCAGAGTGGGTGGGGGCTTGTGGGGAAGTTGGGGCTCCACTTAACCCAATCTCTGCAATTGAGGGGCATGGATAGCCTCTGAAAGACATCCCTTGCCTTTCCCACTGAATCCCTTCACCCTATGACACCCTCCCCCCTCCTTCACAAACCTGTGAAAAGCAAAATGGAAAAGACCAACCTTCTCAGCTTGGTTTCCTCAAGGTGTAGGTCTCAACTGACAGTGGTTAGGACCCCAAAGCTCCTGGCATTTGATTGGTCAACAGGTTTGGCTGAGCAAGGATTCTGGTATGGAGGCCTATGATAGGGCTGGCAAACCCTCCAGTCAGCTCTTCATAAGCTGATTGGCACAAAATACAGCAAACTTTCTTGGTGGTGGATGCAGCGAAATTAGTCTACACCCAACAGACCACACCCACATTTCATCTTAGACAGATACATTCATAGTCAATGATGTTTCTTTGTAATATTGCTCACTAACTCAGCAAGGATCTAGAACAGAGAGGATCCAGAATCCGAACTGTAATGGACGGAGGAGAATAGAGAGAATTATCCCAGGAGGGCCAAAACATAGGGAAGAGGGTCTGGGTTAATGGAAAGGAGGCCCCAGGATTCAGGAACAATGGGAGGTGGATACCAAAACAGGAAAACAGCAGATGGAGAGTTGATGTCTGGGAGAGTGAGTGAGGAACCAGATTACTGACAGATTCTGTTATTCTGAGAGAAGGAATGTGGATTATTGCGAGAGCCTAGTTTAGCCTAGCTAGGTTACAACAAGATCTCCTGTGCATCACTAACTTCTTCCACTGCACTGGTGGTTTAGCATAGAATATCCTAAATGCTGGAATTTCCTTTTTGCTTTTCTCTTCTTCAAATGGGAATGCCTAAAACTTCTGTTTTCATTATGATTTCAATAACCTATTTTAATGTTTCGTTCTCTAATATGGTGCCAAATTATGTTTGATTACACCCCTGCAAAGTGCCTGACTCTTGCAGCACAATTGGTAGTGTCCCTAGCTCTGGGCCAGAGACTGAGAATCAAGTTTCACTTGCTCGACAGGTGTGCTGTAACATAATTACAGGCCACTTAAAAATACCTGCATCAAAAAACCAGTATCAACACTGGATCAATATGTATATTCAAGACTGAGATTGACAGATTAGTTATTAGTAAGGAAATCAACGGTTCTCGGGATGAGGCAGGGAAGTGGAGTTGAGGATAATCAGATCAGCCTTGATCGAACAGAAAGGTAGAATGGACTCAGTGAGGCAAATGGCCTACGTCTGCACCTATGATATATTTTGGGACATGCTGAGATTGTGAAAGTGCTACATTACTGCAAATTCTTACATAATTTAACAGTATCATAGAATCCCTAGAGTGTGGAAGCAGGCCATTCAGCCCATCAAGTCCACACTGACCCTTTGCAGAGTATCCCACTCAGACCCACCCCCTACCCTATCCCTGGAACTCTACACATCCCTTTAGGCACTATGGGCAATTTAGCATGGCCAATCCGCCTAACCTGCACATCTTCGGACTATATTACTAACACTATATTTATAAAATTTGTTATTGTTATCGTCTGGATTCCAGCACTAGTTTAGGGAAAGAGTGTAGGAAAATAGAGGCTGTAAATCTTTGTCAATTATCTGCGTGTTTAAAATTAGCTAATACTAAGCACAGAGTTAGGAACAGTGCCTATGTTGTTTCATGCAGTTTACACCATCTCATGCAATTATATCCTATTTGATGGTTGCATATTTTGGTAAATGAGTGCAAGTACAGTCCAAGAAAAACAAAAGGAACATTTATCATGAACACTTTTTGCTTGTTGTGAAACACCCCCAGGGTCAGAATGGAAATGGCTGTTCGAAGAGAAACATAATTCAAGGTAACTTACAATTTTTTTGAACCAAAATTCCTCAGTTTGGCTGAATTTCTATTTGAAAGGATTCTAGTTGAAAGCTGGCTTTGTTAGGAAAGGTTAACTTGAAGCCTGTACTGTACCAAATGTCATTTTTGAACATATCAGAGCGAGACACTCAACATTCAGTTGAAAGCTTATTTGGAGATTATAATTAAACAGGAAGCAGGTTGACCTTACCATCAACCCTAGCTGGACACTCTGGCATTTGGTTTGTGGCATGATTAAAATGCCATTATAAATGGCACTGTTTGTCTTAACAAATTTAACACGTGGAGAAGAGCGCCTCTCTTTTTCGACCTCCAAAGTATATTTAAGACCTGTGCAGAAAGAAAAAAAAGTGAATGCAATGGCCTGCACCAACAATTGGCACCTCTATAGAACGCCTCAGGTCTATCAAGGCACTTCAAAGAACAAAGTTGAGTTGGAAAAATAACAGCAGGTGAAAATGAGGAACAAAAAAAGGGTCAGAGCTAAGGAAGGCATGGTCTCAGTAAAAGATTTTGAACAAACACATCACCAAGGTATTAGGTGACAAGTTGACTGTGTGCAACATTGTCAACAAACTGAATCCCTAATAACAAATGAAGAAAATGTTATTGAATTAACTCCATGAAGGCCGGTATCCTGTTACCAAGTTACCTTTTATTTACACGTGCATAGTACATGACACTGACTTGGCTACCTCAGAGCTGGCTCATATGGTGAGCAGAACTCCCTGACACTCCTATTTATATCTGTCAGCCAGGGCTCCCTGATTGGACCAAGTTAACAGCCCTAATCAGGGAACTCATATTCTATGAAGTCCACCTGGCTGACCTTGTTCCAATCCCTACAGTTAACATTAATAGAAAGTGACCATTCCAATTGCTGCATAGTAAATATTTACTAGAATAGACCACAGGGTATCATATGGAGGGTAACTGAAAGGAAGTACTGTTTGTTCACATACACCTGAGACTTAAGCCACAAACATTTTTTGGTAAACTACCCTTGTACAAAGTCTAATTGGCTACCAGTATTTTTGAATACACTCACCTCCTGCTTAAAGGAAATGGATAATCAATTCACAGATTGATATTAAATTTTAAACCCAATGTGCAAAATAAATACTTGGCTGGTTCAGGTCAATGGTATTGTTGTGTTTTTATTATTCACAATGAGTTAGAAATTATATTTTTTATACAAATGTATTTCCAGACTGCCATATCAATCATGACTGCACTGCAGTCAGGGGCCAAGCATCACTCCAGACACATGGTGAGATCTGTAAATTACACTTGATGTAAAGCTCCTGTAGTTTTGATTGAAAGTGTGGTTATCCCAAACTTCAGGGAACCACAAGACACAGCACCTAACTAGAAATTTTAAGTTAATATTTTGATTGTTGATGATTTTGAACAGGTCAGTTGCTCTGATTGTAAAAATAATGTAGATCCAACAACCACACCCAATTTCTCCAGTGAGACCATTGACTTACAGATTTACATGTACTACCTTGTTGAAATGTGGTAGCTCATGGAGTGCTGATACTTACCTATACTGCGATTGTACTTTCTATTTCCTGTGCTCACGATGTATGAGAAGCAAACTGTCACTGTGACACTAAATGAAACAGAAAACAGGCAAAACTTTTACAGAAATGTTTAATGTGTGGTATAAAATTGATCTATCATTTAAATCTTTACATATTTGTAGCTATTTAATTTGCTTTAGAAAATATGATTAATAGCTATGCCCAGATGCCACTCATTCCATTCCTAATGTAACAAGAAGTTACTGTAATTACTAACATCAAAAAAAAATCTTCAGACCGCATGAGTCTCAAATGCTTGATATTGAAACGTCTTCCTCCCAGAAAAATAGTATAATATGGTTAAATTTTTGGGTACCAACATTTCTCTTTCCCAAGACGGAGATACAGGAGTGTTTCCCTTGGACTTTGACAAAAAGAGAGAGCTCCAGAAGCCGTCCACAGACAGCATATGGTAACGAAATTCTGAATAGTATGGACCATTTCTAACTCCTTTGCCGTGGTGTTTCACATTATCACATTTAAGTCATTTGTTTTGTACTGCAGTGCTAGTATCCTACATCTATGTCATAAAATTAAAACTGAAAGAACTGTGGATGCTGTAAATCAGAACTTAGAGTTCTGAGGAAGGGTCACTTGACCCAAAACGTTAACTCTCAATTTCTCTCCACAGTGCTGTCAGACCTGCTGAACTTTTCCTGCAATTCCTGTTTTTGTTTCTAGGTCAGAAAATACAGGTTTGAATCCCACAACCTGTGAAAAGTATAACAACATTCTCGAACAGATTGATTGATTTTGTTTTAAAACAGATGTCAGCATGAATAATAAATGATATTTGGAAACAATGGATTTATGGTCTTTCAGTTTAGTTTATTTTCTGTAAAGTTGTTCACAGGGCTACAACCTCTTGGACAACACAGTTTGCTCAGTGGTGAAATGAGATATTGTAAGCTGCCAATCAGGATTTTACATGAATGGCATGACCAGGGAAGAAGCAGAATCTTTCATCTCTTCTCAAGATCATTGTGTTCCTTGAGGGGCACAATATTCTTTTTGAGTTTGAAATCCTTATACCTGTAACCTGGATAAAGCATCTCTTTCTTTTTGTTGTGCCCATCTCCACCTCCAGCATATCTCCCTTTCCTCAGTAACCTATAACAGGGACATCTCCCTCATTGTCACATTTCATAGAATTACATAAGAATTACAGCACAGAAACAAGCCATTTGACCCTACCAGTCTATGCTACTGTTTATGATCTACTCAAGCTTCCTCTCATCTTTCCCCATCTATGCCTCGTGTTGTAATCATCTATTCCCTTCTCCTTCAAGTGTTTGTCTATCTTCCACTTAAATATGTCTATGCTATTTGCTTTAATAATTTTGTGTGGTAGAGAGTCCCGCATTCTTACCACACTTTGGGTAAAGGTAAAAACCGAAAGAACTGTGAATGCAGTTTACTCCCTACCCCATACCTCTCCCTATTTTCTGCATATAAACTGACGTTTTCCCAGCCACCATCAGTTCTGAGGAAGGGTCACCAGACCCAAAATGTTAACTCTATTTTTCTGCTGCCAGGCCTGCTGAGCTTTTCCAGCAACTTCTGTATTTGTTCCTTTGGGTAAAGGTGTTTCTTCTGACTTCCTTGGCGACTATCTTATATTGACAGTCTCTCGTTATCCTCTTATCCGTAAGATGTAGCACTCTTCCTGTACCCAAATGTTTAATAATTTTAAATACCCCTAGTAGGTCACCTCTCAGCCTTCTTTATCCAGGAGAAAGAAGATCTCGCTTGTCAACCCTTTCCTAATATGGAAACCCATGTATGTTTGGTATCATCCTTATAAGTCTTCTATGAGGGCTAGTTGTGCCTTCACACTTGACAGGGTTCTGGGTTAGTGAGGAAGAAAATAAAAACCAAGAGAAGAGAATAGGTCCCAAGGTACAGTGAAGTTAGAAGGAACAAAGAGAGAGGTAAGTAGTCCAAGGTTGCCTGGGTCAGCAGTGGAGACAGAGCATTGGCCTAGTGGCTGTCTAAACCAGAGGAGCTCTGAATTGTTCAGGGACCCAGTGACAAACAGTGGGAGCAAGTTAGCACCTGAAAGTCATTGCCAAGGAAGAATAGAGCAAGGAGGCCAAGCTAAGAGAAAACAGAGGGCAAAATAACTGAACTCAAGGCAAAGTAGCAAGATGACGAACAAGTGGCAGCAATTATAGAGAAAAGCTTCCACACGGCCAATGCAATGTTAGATTTAGTGGTTCCACACTGTCCATAGACGAATTACGGCACCACAGTTGGTCAAAACCTAAATTTTGTACAGTTGAAACACTAGATAGAAGGGTCTTGGCACAAAACAACTGTGATGCTGCAGATAACAGTGCTGTTTATATGTTTAGTAACACTCTCTGTAGGTACTTTGTAATACTGCACTGGGGATTAAAGCAACACTTCAATCCCAAACATATCCCAAAATATAGAATAATTAATTAAATACACAAATTTCATCTGGTCTTGCTCTGGATCTCTTTGTTTTTCGTTTGGTATTATATTTTTAGTCTCTTCACATGTCCCTAACTCTATTCCCAATTATATAATTGATACTTAATATTGAATTTGCTGACACCAAAAATCCATCCATAATTACCAACTGTGCATGCTCAACTCTGATTTTTCTAATAATAAAGGAGACTTAATTTTTTAAAAAGTCTGCTTTGTTTGACACCTTTTTACATTTACCAATATATTTAAGCAAGTGATTAAAATATACAGTATAACAGTATCGAGTGGCCCTCCATGACTTTTGTTCCAAATGACAACAGTACAGCAGCATGGTTGGAATGAGAATCTCCAAACGATGTTATTTTAATGTCAGCAATCCCCCATTTATAATATAGTAATGTTATTTGGAAAATCTAGACCATTGTGTAAAGCTCAGCTAGATTGCATTCATAACATTTTACGACACTTGGGCCCCTTGCTTAAATGTTATTGATGGCTGTAAATGAACAAATTATCAGCTATCAAAAGTAACAGCAGTTTCAGAGAAAATAACAATATTTCAAAATGCTTACCAGGACTTAATAGTGCAGGTGCTGGGATCAATGATGCTTGGGTGCACAGTGAAATTTTTACTAATATTAACAACTGGCCGAGATCTGGAAACAGATACATGCCATTAGTTTCAGAAATTCCACCACTTATACCTAACATGCTCTGGGTTCTTTAATCCTCTTGCTGCCTGTGCAATTTTGTTTTTGCTGAAATTGTATAGACTCAAAGATTGGAAAAGGATCAGAAGCTTAAACTACATAAAATATTCCCTATCTGTGGGAATCTCCAACAAACTTATGTTTTTCACACATTTCCGTGAAATCTTCCTGCCATTTTTCTCATGATAAATTCCTGTATTTACCTTTAAATTGGAAGTTGCTTATTTAATTACATACTGCTGCCATCAGAGGTGCTATATTGCCTCTGTTATGTAGAATTCCCAGCTGCTCAGCCTGCATTTAAGGGAAACCTTTAAGATCCAGCTAACTAGACTTTCCTGCTTTTAATTCTTAATGCTTTCCTACTTAACTAAATAATGGTCCAGAGATTCTGATTTCCATCGGACCGGATTCAAACAATGGTAATCCTCTTTAAAATTACTCACTGATATGTTGGCAACTTTTGTGGCCAAGATTCCGAGTCTCACCCATTCCAAATGTATCTGTCAGAGACAACCAGGCAGAAATCTACTGAGTACGGGCACAGTGTTGTAGGTCAAGGCACACCCTTTTATATGACACTTGCTGCTGTAATTTAAAGGCTAAATATCCCAAGGCACTTTGGCAGTGACGGAGGAAATGTAAGTGTGCAAAGTAAGTGAGGGGATGGGGTGGCAGGTGGGTAGGATGTTCATGGGGATTGGGTGGAAAAGAGAAACCAACTCGAGTAAGGTGGGCCATGGTGGAGGCCAGATCAGCAGGAGGTATTGTTTGGAGGTCAGTTGTTCATAGTTTAATTATAATCCTTTCATGTTTCCTGGGTAACTATTAAACTTAAGTGAATCAGAATCCTCTGAATTCTCTGGAATTTAATAAATTTCTTCAGAGGGCTCTAAAAACACACAGAGTAATTGCTCTTCCAAAAATTCCATTTCCCAGGAATTACCATGGAGTTAGCTACATCAGGGGATTCCACATGGCCTCGATGTGCAACTCCAGACTACACTGTTCCAGCGAATCCCTGGCCATCAGAACATCACAGAGAAGTACAGTTAAACGTATGACTTTAAAAGAGAGTCTGAGCCATGTCTGTATATCCTGGTCCAGTCTCGACTGTTGTCTTAAATCTAACTCCTACAAAAACCCTACGACCACATCGTACTCATGTGAAGGTCGTACCTCAGTAAAATGACTCTGTCGGATAATGTTCCAATTAGAATGTCAGGGTAATCATTCCTATCAACATCAAGTCCTCCACTGATTGAATAGCCAAATGTATTGATTGGGTCAGTTTTCTCCAGACCTGCTCCACTGATGACCTTGAAAATGAAAATGAACTCATAACTTATTGTCACAGCATTTCATTGCTCATTTAAAATGTTATTTCCAGAAAAATTCTCATTTTCCATGAAAACAATTTTACCCATGATATTTCTTAATTTTTGATATACTGTCTAAAATTTCACATTATTTCAAATTGTATATAGCTGTGTGTTTGTGTCAAATGGTTTTTACTCATTCCAGATATTTGACTGTTTTTATATTTATTTGGCATAACAAGTCCCTTAAGGGCAATAGAAAGAGGAGACAGGATTGCAATTGAACCAAATTAGATTTGAATGCAAGTGTCAGATAGGTTTGAAAGGAGATAGTAACACCATCTAAAACAGGTGGCGCTACTAAAAAGGGACGTTGCCTTTTGATAGCATCCAGCACTGGATTTTTTCAGCTTGATGAGGAGTTACATAAACATTTTTGAATTTCATCACCACCATGCTGTACGACACTGAACCAAGATATTTTATTTCTTGATGACATAACCAATTAAAGTGCTTATTTTGGCAATCAGCCTGAGCCATCATATTTACATAATGAAACAAAAGGCCAATTAATGATGAAAGTGCCAGTGTAGAAACAGCAGCATTGCTTGTGTTACTGCAGTTACAGAATCTGTCACAGACTGAAACTGCACAGATGATCAACACAGCAGCTATGAAATTGATTTTCGGAGCAATATTTTCTTAATTCCAGAACCAAAGAATTGAAATTATTTGCTGAGCATTTTGTGGGAGACAGCACAGATCATTCTGGGAATGACATCATTTAATCAAAATTGTACTGAGGCTTAGCTTTGAAATAACAATTTTTGATAATGTAGTTGTTTTGGTAAGTTACTAGGTATAGAGAAAAGTAGGCATTCTGTCAGTTCTTGGCAGAAATTTCTGCTCAATTTCTAAGAGTTCATTGACGCACCAATGTGTTAGCCATAGTTCACTCAGTGGTAGCAATCCTACCTGTGAATCAACATGGGTTCAACACCCACCCCAGAGAGCTGTACTCAGAAATTGAGGTTGATATTCCAAGTAGTGATGGATGGCTGCATTATTGGTGGCACTGTATTTCATAACATTTTACATCATGACCCTTTCTGCCCTCTTACAAAAACATAAAACATACTATGGCACTGTTTCAAAGGTGAGGAGGTCAGTTAGTGTCCTGGCCAATGTTTATCCCAGCCAAAATCAATGAAAACTAATTATTTGGACATTGTGTTTCATGGATTCTGCAGTTTGCAATTGGACAAAAACTTTTCTACTTTACAACGATGACTACACTTCAAAAGTGACCATAAAAGACACTGTATTTATACTAGGGAGATAGCAAGAACTGCAGATGCTGGAGTCAGAGATAACACACTGTGGAGCTGGAGGAACACAGCAGGACAGGCAGCATCAGAGGAGCAGGAAAGTTGATGGTACGGGTTGGGACCCTTCTTCAGAAATGGGGAGAGGAGGGGTGGGGCTGGGAAAGGTAGGTGGGTTGTTGATAGGTGAGTGCAGGCAGGGAATGGTGGGGATTGGTCAGTGGGATGGCTGGGGAGGATAGGTGGGGGAGAAGATGGACAGGTTGTGTCAGGTCAAGGAGGCAGGGATGAGACGGAGGGGTGGACATGGGATGATGCTGGGGATGGGGAGATTTTAAAACTGGTGAATTCCATGTTTAGGCCATCGGGCTATAGGCTCCTGAGGCAGAATATGAGGTGCTGCTCCTCCAGTTTGAGGGTGGCGTCATTGTGACACTGGAGGAGGCCAAGACTGCACATGTCACTCAGGGAGTGGGAGTGGAGTTAAAATGGTTGGCGACCAGAAGGTGTTGTCATTTGTCACGTACAGAGCGCAGATGCTCTACGAAATGGTCTCTGAGTCTATGTTTGGTCTCACCGATGTAGAGGGGGCAGGATACAGTAGATCAATTTGATGGATGTACAAGTGAACCCCTGTCTGATATGAAAGGTTTGTTTTGGGCCTTGAATGGAGGTGAGTGGAGGGGGGTGGGCGGTGGTAGGGGAGGTGTAAGGGCAGGTGTAGCACCTCCTGTGGTTGCAGGGAAAGGTGCCGGCTGTGATGGGGTTAGTGGGGAGAGTGGAGCGGACAAGGGAGTCGCAGAGAGAGCAGTCCCTATGAAAGGCAGATAGGGGTGGGGAGGTAAATCTCTCTTTGGCTGTGGGGTCGGATTGTAGGTGGCGGAAGTGACGGAGAATAATACACTGGATGGGGAGGTTGGTGGGGTGATTTGTGAGGACAAAGGGGATTCTGTCTTTGTTTTTGTTGGGGAAGAGGATGTGAGGGCTGTGGTGCGGGAAATGCAAGAGATGCGGTTGAGTTTTTTTCATCTTATCACTCTTTAATGAACAGGGTTCCTAACCACACCACTCCTGTCTGAAGGCACTGACTCCTTCTTGGGGTATGCTGTGGCTGACAACTCTGCCAAAAGGATGTTTGAAAGAGTTTCTGATAGATTTTGATCAGGTGAATGGAGCAAGACTATAGACCTCTGGAGAATGAACGATGAGAAATGGAGTTAAAAATGTATCCCACATGCTGCTATGTGAAATTTTAATCTGCAGAGAAATCAAATCATTCCCCTGCCTAAAAGTATCCATTAGGGAACCAATTGTTTTGGGCAGACACTCAGGTAGAAGCCTGTACAGCCAAAAGCTACATGAATCAAAAGGAGTGCTACAATGGAACTTATGTTAGTTTTTAATGCAGGCAGTGAATATACGGTATAAATTGACTGTATCTTATACACCCTGCCTGAGTTTCCTTTCCAATGGCTTCACTGGTAAAATATTTCAAATGAAATTATTTCTCCCTTTCACTTTTATCTATTCATCAGGGCTTAAAATCCCAGGTATCTGTCAATGTAGTGTCACCAAACAAAATAAGATGTGATAGTGCATGCTGCTGGTGAATAAGTGTTTAGAATATAAATCTAAACCTCTTTGGGTTGTTATAGATTCTCATGCTGCTTCAGAAAATATTCCTATTTTGAATGTTAAGTAAATTTGATGGTGAACTGAACACCTTGGGTAGGGGAACTGTGGAAGGGTTTGGTTGAAGTATTGAAGGGTGGCCAGGGTTCATGGAACCACTTCTAGTGCAGCTCATCACTCTCAAGAGGGGAAGAGGAATGACCTATATTTTAAAAAGAAACATCAATGTGACAACACAGTGTAGAGCTGGAGGAACACAGCAGGCCAGGCAGCATCAGAGCAGCAGGAAAGTTAACGTTTCAGGTCGGGACCCTTCTTCAGAAATGGGGAGGGGGAAGGGAGCTGGGAAATAAATAGAGAGAGGAGGGGTGGGCCTGGGGAAGGTAGGTGGGATGGTGATAGGTGAGTGCAGGTAGGGAGTAGTGGGGATTGGTCAGTGGGAGAGAAGATGGAGAGGTTGTGTCAGATCAAGGAGGCAGGGATGAGAGGGAGGCATGGACATGGGATGGGGTCTCATCCCCGCCCCCTTAACCTGACACAACCTGCCCATCTTCTCTCCCACCTATCTGTCCTACACATCACACTGACCAATCCCACCACTCCCTACCTGCACTCACCTATTATCATCCCACCTACCTTTCCGAACCCCACCCCTGCTCTCTCTATTTATTTCCCAGTCTCTTCCCCTTACCCATTTCTGAAGAAGGGTCCTGACCTGAAACGTCAACTTTCCTCCACCTCTGATGCTGCCTGGCCTGCTGTGTTCCTCCACCTCCATAGTGTGTTGTTTCCGACTCCAGCATCTGCAGTTCTTGCTCTCTCCTATATCAATCTAACAAGCTTTCCTGATGATGTGGCAGGAGGGACTTCAAACCAGAAAGCCAAGTTGTTAAGGGCCCTGTGGTTTATTATCTCCCTGTAAGTGAGAAAGAGAATCCAGAGACATCACTGTGTCAGCAGAACTAAAACTAACTTCAAATAAAGCATATGGGAGCCCAAGATCATGAACTAGGCAAGGCACTCATTCTGTGACGCTCTCATGTACTTAATAACTTTCTTCAAAGAGAACTCCAAACAACAGCTATCTTGACATACAGCCATAGATCTCTGATGGGTAAGACTCAGGCAAACTTTCAATAAAACTTTTCAATCAAGCAATCAAATGTCTTCATTGTAGGAATGGCTACTTTCCATTGTCTGGAAATCTATTTCTATTTACCATGACTCACAACATTCCCAGAATTTCTTGCTCTGGAGAATTCATGTTTATTTTATTCATTCACAGGATATGGGCATCGCTGGCTAGGCAGCATTTATTGCCCATCCCTAATTGCTCAGAGGGCAGTTAAGAGTCAACCACATTGCTGTGGATCTGGAATCACATGTAGGCCAGACCAGGTAAGGATGGCAGTTTCCTTCCCTAAAGGATATTAATAAACCAGTTGGGTTTTTACGACAATCAGCCATGGATTCACAGCAATCGTTACACTCTTAATTCCAGATTTCTTTTTTTTGAATTCAAATTCCTTTATCTGCCATGGCCGGATTTGAACCTGGGTCGCCAGAACATTATCTGGGTCTCTGGATTGACAGTCCAGCAATAATACCAATAGACCTTTGCCTCCCCTGTAGGACCAGATTCAAGTTCCAGTATACCTCTGCCAATCTATCAGAATGGGGACCAAGAGGATAATATGTCAAAGATAAGCAAGAATCAAATTGCTATTCTCAAGGGTGTATAGCTCAAATAGAGAAAGCCTTAAAATGTGGCCAATTCTTGCTTTTCAATAGGAGGATAGTAGTGATGATGAAGTATATTGAGATCAAGAATACATCACTTTGAAAAAACATGTATTGAAGATGGAGGAGGGGGACAGAAAAGCTGGTCCAGTCAGTAATCTTTAGTAAGATTCTAGATTCCCTTTGGTGGATTACAGAAAAATGTAGCTGTGAATTAAAAGGGAACTTTCCTCCTTGATCCATATCTATTGTCGTCAATAACATCCAACATTTTGGAGTTGTCACTAAAGCTGTGGTTTGGGAACCAGAGAGAGAAATATTTAAAATAGAATAAGAAAATTGAAAAACCTATTTTAGGATGTACTTGTACTTATAGAAGATTTTCCAATAACATCCAAAAGCACTTCTTGGTTAATGAAGTACTTTAGCCACAATTGTAATGTGAGGCAATACAGCTATCAGTATATTAACATGATCCTAAAGGTACCAATGGGAGAAATGATCCATTAAGTGGTTTTGAATGATGGTTGAGAGATAAAATATGGGCCAAGACACCAAGAAATTTGCCTGTTCTTCTTTGGATGGTGGCATCTTTTATGTTCCACCTGGGAAGATAGAAGGACCTCATCTCAGTGGACAACTGCAGTACTGCAGTGAATGACCTTCTGATTCAAACACAAGTCCATTAACACTGAGCCACTGACACTAAAGCTGTCTCTTAACAAGAAATGTAGAAATATTATCCTGGATTATTACCTCCTCTGGGGAGGAAGGCAAACAGAGTAACAGGCACCAGGAGAATTGAAAATTTAGATTGTGCATAAATAATTTAACACACATACTTGTGTACAGACTTAAACACACACACATCTCTCCCTCCTCAAAGAAAAAGTCACTGGGCATAAATTATTGACTCTGTTTTTCTCTCTCCTCAAATGCTGCCAGACCTGCTGAGTTTCACCAGTACTTTGTTTTTATATTTCTGAATGTATAAATGATCAAACATTTTCATGATATATATCATGCCTGAAATTGCAGTCTTCGATATCTTCAAGATTGCTTTTCCCCTCTTTAAAATGCTTCCTTGGTTGTGAACATCTGATGTTTTGTTCTAAAGCTGCTTTGCAAGTCTCTGGGTTACCTACCAGGAGGCAGAGAAAAGTGCCTCATTTATGTTTCCCATTTCATTCTGATTCCCTTTACCTCTGCGACCAAAATCCTCATTTTGTGACATTCTTCGACTGCACCTTCCAAACTTGCAAATTCAACTACTGAGAAAGACAAAGGGCTGTAGATGCAGAGGACCACCACCTACAAGTTCCTCTCCAAGACATACACCATCATGACTTGGAAATATATTACCATTCCTTCATTGTTGCTCAGTCAAAATCCCAGAAATCCCTTCCAAATAGCAGTTGGGGTCCCTACATCCCAAGGTTGCAGCTCACCACCCTTAGTCTATGGACAATGCTGGCTGAGTTAGAAACACCCATGAATGAAAATAACTGAAATAAGTAAGTAGATAATCTGCCTTTGGTAGTAGCAAGAGGGGAAAGAAATGTTGCCTAGGTCACCATGGCTCTGTATTCTTCTTAGAATAGAGTTCTGTAATGTACGAATCATCAGATAGATGTTCAGTAAGACCTAAGTTTGGTATCACTGGGAATGCAGTACGCCCTCAACTATACACTAGTGGGTCATCTTAGCCAATGTGCTGAAGTTGTAGCAAACAGCTTTGAACCCACAACCTTTTGACTTGAAGGTTATAATGTCATCAGATAAACCAAACTAACATAAGTCTATCAATGGGAAAGAATGCAAAGAATTTACTTCATATTCTAGCAAACATCTAATGAGTGGTTGTTATAGCAAGCAGTTTTACTGGAAGCAACGTTGTTACTGAACCTAAACGTACCCACTCAGCTCCGGCAGCATAAGGCACCAGACAATGATCAGGGATCCCAGCAAATCTATTCCCCCAACCCAGAGAACACCAACAGCTAACAACATCCAGCACCATCCCAACTAACTCACCCATGTCAGTGGAGACTCAAGATTAAATCTGGAATCTCAATCTTCTGCATGGCTCTAACCAACACCAAATGCAGCAGCTACCTATAAAGGCATCTGTACAGCATTTTTGCAACTTCTTCCTTTCTTTTGAACATGGAACAGCAATCTAGGCCTAAAGCATGAATATTTAAAAAAAAAATTCTTTCATAGATCATGGGCATTGTTGGCAAAGCCAGCATTTGTTGAAAATCCCTAATCGCTCTTGAACTAAATGGCTTGCTAGACTATTTCAGAGGGCAATTTACAGTTAATTACATTACTTGGAGCAAAAAAGTGACATGTAGGACAGACCAGGCAAGGAATGCAGATTTCTTTTCCTACGGATACTCATGAACTAAACAGGTTTTTATAACAATCGTAGTTACATGGTCACCATTACTAAGATTAGATTACAATTCCAGATTTTAATTAATTGGAATTAAATTGCACTAGCTGCCATGGTGAGATTTGAACCCTTGTCTCTAGAGCATTAACTTGTGCCTCTGAATTAATAGTTCAATAACCACTACGTTAGCATCTTCCCCCCGAGTGACTGCATAGTCAGAAGAAAAACCCTTACCCAGCACATTAGAATTAGACGAGGACAGACATGGGATTCTCAAGAGGAGCATCAACACCAGCATGAACTGGTTGGGCCAAATAGCCTGTTACTCTTCTAAATTTTATGCAACTATAGTTTCACAGTTCGTAAAAAGCCATACCTGACTAGGTTCAGGATTCAGTCCATCCTTGCTGCCGTGGTATATGAAAACTTTGCCAAAACCATCATATGGAGCTCCAATGGCAATATCTGTGGAAAAAAAACTAATGCATTTCAACAGTCCTTAATGCTGCAGTCAAATGGAAAAATTCTCACAAATATACATGACAATTCACCAGAACAGGGTTGCCTGGCATTTCAATCATCACAAGAATATGGAGTTGTTTCTCCAGTTCCCCATTGTGCTAATTATTTGCAAAAGGATTATATTTATGAACATCTCATCCCCTGGAATAATTTATGATGACTGAGCAAGTAAAATTCACGCGTGGGATTATAGGATTTTTACCTCTGTGAAAGGGATTACTTTCAGATTTTTTATTGAAATCAGTGGTCTTCTGAAGGAATGATTAAAGGATTTTGAAAGATGAGACTGCAACTGCTTGAGGGATAGATTTTTAAATCACAATTTTTTTTCTGACCAGAAGTTTGAGGCTGTTAACAATCTTCCTCATTTACTTCACCAGTAAATGACACTGAATGGAATTAGCTGTGAATTTCCCCTTTGCCTGTTACCAGGTTGCACTTTGGTCACAGCTCAAGTTGACAACTCAGTCCGGACTTTCACTCGCTCTAACTTCTCAGCTCTGAGTAGGAAGGTGAAATGCATTTCAAAATATTGTGTGTTCAGACTTAGTCTGTGCAGTTAAGTAGGGGAAGCAGTGGTGTAACAGTAATATCACAAACCAGAACTCCAGGCTAATGTCCTTGGGACATGAGTATGAATCCCACCAAGGCAGATGGTGAAATGTGAATTCAATAAAAAGTTGTTATAGAAGCCCATCTCGATTCACTCATGTTCTTTTTGGGAAGAAAATCAAACCAACAGCAATAGGGGAAGAAATTATCCAGATATCCTGCTTAGTACACATTGAATGTCATCTGACAAAATGAAAATTTCTGTATGTTGGGTCAGACAACAGGAAAATAAGGCACACCTGTATTATCTCTAACTCTCGTACTTAGTAGCCACTATCCAGATTCCAAAGGCTACTTAGGAGCGACACAGGTGGCTGCCTGTGAAAGCAACAAGAACTCGATACCTTCAGATGAGAAGGGAAGGAAAAAAGTGGATGTTTGCAAGAAAAGTCAAAAATATTTCCTGGGGGCTAATGCAATGTCAGAATCAGTTCAAATTCTCTGGCAGTTGTTGTAAGTGAAACAGAATTTGGTCAGTTGCTGCCAAGTTCCCATGTCATGTCATTTAGAGTGGAGTCACACACACTTTGCACTTTGACAACAGGAAGTTAACGGGCCCAGAACATAATCATGATCATAATTTGATAATAAATTGGCAACAGTGCACACGACCCATTGGCTAAAATGGCAAGTGTGAATGCTGCAGCGGTGCACTGAACTGCTCTGAAGTTAGGCCTAAACCATCAACTTGGGGACATTGTAAGAGGATTATTATGTAGTCAGCTATGCTGTTCCTATTACACTGGCAATATCGCTGATGACAACGGTAACTCACCAACCCCTCCTTCAGATCAATCCTGACTTTCTAGACCACAAAGTGCTGAATAACTCTTGTTAGGTTGAACTCTGTCTCAATGGCTCAGAACAAGCTTCAGTGTAACTATGAGCAAAAATGAGTTGTTTTCTTTATCTATTATATTGTACACAGTGTCAACAAGAAAGAGAAGGAAGCAAACATTTATGCTAACAGATCTCAACATTCCTCCGGCTTTTAAACAAGACAACCTTCAAAGGGCAAAACGTAAATAAATCCTGGGCCTCAGTGGACAGAAATCTCTACTTTATTTCAGCTGCTGTGAACAGCAACCTTTGGCTTTGAAGCAACCACTGAACATTTACTCTCATAGATGTTGTCCCACAACAAAACACGTCCAGAGCGGAACTGCTTTGACCTCTGCTCATTCCAGTCAATTACTTCCTTCCTGGTGTAGTTATACTGAGATCTAGTGCTCTAGAGTAGCCAAAAATATATGAATCCACGCTGTTGGGATTGAGCAGAGCAGAGTAGGCAACAACACAATTGAAAGCTCCCTGCAGAAATCTGCCAAAATGTTCTTTCAGTAACTGTGACAGAGAACAGCTGGTAAGATGCAGTAACAGCAGAAGGGAATATGAGTATAAATATGAGTATAAGGGTTAGAAGCCCACTGTCAAATGATCATGGCATCAATTTGGTTTGGCTGCCCATATCGTCACTGCACAGAATTGTGTAATGGGGACAAGTGAGAGTCAAGGCTGAGTTGCCAATTTGAGCCACAACCTGACAGTAGGCAGAAGGGAAAATTGCAGCTTGTCCCAGTCTATGCCATTTGTTGGCGTATGAGGAAGATCCTGTGTCCTGTTGCAGAAACAGACATGGCTCAACAGCAAAGATGAAGGATGATAAATTAACTGCACTGGAGGTAACATTTAAAACACTTCAATGCCACATCTCAAAAAGGTCACAGAATTTCTTCCTCCAAAAAAATTGGACATGCCAATTTCACTCCAGGATTCATGTTCTATTGAGCACAGTTCAGGAGTACCTGGCTTTGAAAAGTGTAATTGTTAGCAGGTCATTAATTGTAGAGAAACCTCCAACCTTCTCCTGTTTTTCATTAATAAAGGAATTTCACCTCACCAGATGTTGAGCCAAATCTAAACGTCCAAAATGCCCTGTAAACCATACCATTCTGAGAATAGGTTACTTTGTAAAAGCTGCTACAGAAATCACAAGAGAGTTGTTTCTAACACTTCAATAAAAGCAGTGGTGCTCTGTGACACTTTGAAACATTTAAAGTGACAATGCTCCGTACTGTAGCCCCCTCTCCTGGTCCTTTAACAATGGAAACATTCATCTGTGTGCTCCCTGGGTGAAAGATCATTGGTTCTTGTCGCAGACAGTAATGCAACCAGCATTTGAAGGAGCACTCAGCTATCTGAACTCTTACAGCAGAGTGAGATATCACAAACTGTAGCTGTCAGGATTTTTTTTTCAGGGCAGTAACCAGAGCCTGTATATGAAACACACCTGTAAACACAAGGGGCAGATTACAAATTCACTACCACTTTCTGACCATTGCCTAATATTAACAATGTGGATTTTAATTAAATGCAAAACAGACATAATATAGCAACGTGGAAAATGCTAATTCGTAACTCTATGAATATCTTTAATAATCAGGTTTTGATGGAAGCAGTAGACAAACACTTGGGAAAGCTATTCTCTGGGCAGTCATTATAGCAGAATGTGAAATCTGTTTATAAGAAAGAAGTTTACTCCAGTGGCCCGCTCGGGTGAATTCTTAGAAGTTTAATCTCTGACCCATGATCAGATGATGTTTGATCAGACGACACATGGCCACATTTACAATGATTCTGGTGTTTGCCTCATAACATTTGGGTTTCTCGGAGTTCATGGTTATAGGGAGGAGGATACATAGACATGAACAGAATTGAAGCCAAAAGTACATCAGCTGTGATCTTACTGGATATTTACTGAATAGTAGAGCAGGCTTAAGGGGCCAAATGGCCGACTCCTGCTCCTAATTTTGTGCCCTTTCATCACTTAAATTTCATGCCAATAGTTGATGTGTGTAAGCCAGAAGATTGTGAAAGTATAAGCAAAGAGTGAAAATTCAAACTTCAAGCATGAAACTCTGTTTTCCTCATTGCTGGCATCATTGATACCATGGCTTTAAGGACATTTAATTAGAAAACAAAGGTATTGGCAGTAACACCTGTTGTGTAACAGTGAACCAGAGCTATAGGACAAGTCAAATAAATCTATTTGTATTTTTTCTGAATGATAAATTATAAAACCACCAAACATCTTGTAGCAATATGGGAGAGCAGGCTATTCAGCCTACAGCATTCTCCACCAATGAATTAGATCATAGCTGATTTTCTATCTCAAAGCTACTTTCCCATGCTCTCCTTATATCCCTTGGTATCATTAGCATTCAGAAATGTATCAATTTCTGATTGAACAAGCTCAAACATTGCACTTCCACTGCTCTCTAGGGTAGAAAATTCCAAAACCTCATGGTCTCAGTGAAGAAGTCCCTCCTCACTTCAGTCTTAGATGACCCACCCTAATGCCAGTCAGAGTGACCACCCTATTTACATCGATAGAAATTGCTGGAAAAAGCTCAGCAGGTCTGGCAGCATCAGTGGAGAGAAATTAGTTAACGTTTCGGGTCCAGAGACACTTCCTCAGAATTCTTCATGCAGATTTGAGGAAGGGTCACTGAACCCGAAACATTAACTTTGATTTCTCTCCACAGATGCTCCTGGACCTGCCAAACATTTCCAGCAGTTTCTGTTTTTGTTTCTGATTTCTAGCATCCACAATTCTTTCGGTTTCTAATTACATCGATCCCTGTCACGTCCTCTAAGAATGTTGCAAGTTTCAAGGAGATCACTTTTCATTCTTTAAAAAATGAGAGAATACCAGGTTCTGTTTTCTCAATCTCTCATTAACTCATAAATATGGATTAGTCAGAGTAATGGTGACCATGACAACAATTAACAATTGCTGTGAAAACCCATCAGGTTCACTAACTGGTCCAAAGAAAATCTGCCATCATTAGCCTGGTCTGGCCCATGTGTGACTCTGGACCAACAGCGATATTATTGACTGTTAACAACCTTCTGAAAAGGGAACTCAGTTTCAGGGCAATTAGGGATGGGCAACAAATGCTGGCCCTGCCAGTGATGCCCTCATTCGTAAAAGAATAAAAAAAAACAAAAACTCATGTTTTCCCTGCTGTGCACAGTTGGTGATATAGGTGTGTATAAGTCACTGCAAAGCAATTTTCTGAAATAAGTTTCACAACTGTAGAGCAACTGTTCTAAGGGGCCATGTGTGGGCTCAGGTGAGATGTTGATGTTGACTATCCTTGGAACAACTGTTCAAGTAAAACGGTCCTCAGAGATACTGTTGAGGTAAGTTCAAACAGCTCTGAAATCAAGTGGTATCAAAAAATTACTTGTAATGTTGACAAGCGTCTGCTATTCAATGGACTGCAGACAGACAGACATTCTCATACTCACTTCACAGAGCTAAGTCAAGAGAGAACTCAGTCATCACTGAGTGAGTGGAAAGTCTGTAACTGGAACTGCTGGAAATTGGATTTGCAAAACACATTTCAAAATAGCTTTGGTACAGCACACTATCCATCAATTGAGGCGTGAAATTGCTGTGGGAACTTATCACAGCAAATCATTCCCATTCCAGAATTAATTCCTTGCCAAGACTGCTACAAATAATGTGAAATTAAAAAATTCCAAATAAAGGCTACATCAGCCCTGAACAATGAAAACCAGACTTCGGAGTAGACAGTTCACGAATCCTAAATATCTGTTTCAATCAGAGAGAGCTGCACAGTTATAGGAAGGAAATTATCAAGCTGGAGAGGGTTCAGAAGAGATTTACCAGGATGTTGCCAAGTATGGAAGATTTGAGTTATAAAGAAAGGCTGGATAGGCTGGGACTTTTTTCACTGGAGCATAGGAGGTTGAGAGGTGACCTGATAAAAGTTTATAAAATAATGAGAGGTATAGATAGAGTTGATGGTAGTTGTCTTTTCCTTACGATGCAAAATTTCGAGACTAGCGGGTACATTTTTAAGGTGAGAATAGAGAGACTTAAGTCAGACACGCGGCTTTTTTTTTACACAGAAGGTGGTTCACATGCAGAATGAACTTCCTGATGTACTTTCTGATGAAGGGGTGGATGTGAGCACAATTACAACATTTAAAAGACATTTGGATGGATATACAAATTGGAAAGGTTGAGAGGGATATGGGCCAGTAACAGGCAGGTAGGACTAGTTTAGTTTGGGATTATGTTCGACATGGACTGGTTGGACCGAAGGGTCTGCTTCTGTGCTGTATGACTATGACATTTCAACAGCTAAATATTGTTTGAAGGTCATACTGAATCACACAATTGATCTCGGAATAGATTTATCTGGTTTGATTTTAGTACATATGAGAAAGTTACTAATCTCCCACACAATGGGTTAACATGGCTAATCATTTTTAATACGCAAGTAACATCAGCTCGCCAACAGATGTCACTGTTTCCTTCTCTGCAGTTAAAACTACAAGTGCGCAGGTCTCACTGATACACCATTATGTGTTGCCTTCAATGTACAAAATCAGTTTATGGATAAGAAATAAAATCTGGTCTTGTCAGTGATATTCAGAGCCTTGTAATGAATAAATAAAAAAAAAGCCAGTTTCCAGGAGTTGTGAACATTGTATACAACACTCTTAGTTTTTCAGTCAAAAACTCAGTAAATTTACAAATACGGAATTCAATTTTAGGTGTGCATTTTTAAAAAGAGCATTTTGATGCCAGGTGTAGCTTTATTATCAAAAAACAAAGCAGTCAAAACTCATGGATGCTGGGGGAGCTGGCCTACAGATACCAAGTTCAAGTGAGAGAAATTTAATTTAACATACTACATCAAGTGGAGAGGGAAATTAACATTGCAGACATTGGAAGATAGATATCTATGTTTACTATGCTGTGGTTGTAAGTCACTTCCACATTCTGTTCTGGTGGAAGCTTGACTCAAGTTCAACATGCTGTGGGTCATCATGGAGCCCTGTGCAGAAGTCAGCAAAGGCAAGATTCAACCTGTGATTCCTATCTCAGTTTTAAACCCACATACCAGACTATGTCTTCTATTTCAAACTCTCAAGATCTGATATAATTTTTCTTATGTCATACACAAGTGTGCACACTGTATTTGCAGAAGTAAGTATTGTAAAAAACAATTTAACGATGGGGGTTATTGCTGAGATATTCCTGCAAGAATGTGCAGGAAGCTAAAACAGACATGTAACTCAAGCACACTAGGTTGCTCAGAGCAGTGGAAACCTTAAAGATTTTGTGGTACTGAGGTGCAGAAGACAAGACAAGAGCAGAGGCTGTAAAGAGTCCTGTTAACTACCTATTTTCCCATAAGCAGCAAACGATCCTCTTGCAGCTGGAGTGGGAAATTGAGCATGATGTGAGCAAAGTGATGATTCTTGTTTCAAACCATCAAGTTAACAATTCACTTTTATGTAACGGACAAAGGAAATATTTCCAAGAAGCATCAATGGCCTAAAGCCAGCAACTGGAGAGAGAAAGCAAATATTGAGTAAGCCTCTTTCTGCAACCCAGTCTGCTAGAGATTATTCTCCCCCAAATCATTTCTGCCCTATCATAGGCTATTAAGCCTCTCACCCCTGTTCACTCTATAGGAGATTATTCTCCCTCCCTCACATTGGAGGATCTCACATGAACAGCAGCTATAGCATAGTACAGAAATGGGGTGATAACATATCTTTTTGCACCCTGCCAATTTCATAGACTGACTTGAGCGATTAAGTGGAAAATCACATGTCAAATAATCTGACAAATGCTGCAGGTTGGTGAAGATCCCAGTCCCTCAGTAAACACTATTACAATAGAGACAAGTACAATGATGACACTAAATAGCCACTAGGTGGAGCCATCATTCCTAAACATGTACATTATTGAAAAAGATAACATTGCAGAAGATATATAAAGAACAAACAGTAGGAAAAGACACTCCTTGAGCCACGAGGCATGTATTTGTACTTGAGTGGGTGACTTCACCTGCATTTCCCAAGCAATATTGCAAGTTCACAGCAGATATGAATGCATTTCGCATCAGAAGTACTGAGGATTACAAAAGGAAGAAAAGACCGCAGGGTATTTCAACCAAATTAAGCAAATAGCTTTACACTGACACTCCACTGCTGTACTGAGGAATTCTAGCAATGCCATCATTTGGCAGCACTTTCAAACTAAGGCTCAGTCTGACTGTTCTGGTGGCTCTAGCCATATTAACAAAACGTGGAGCAAGAACAGAGTTCTCCAAAGAAAGAATGTTGGACAGAAGACCAACACTGGCAAAAGCAAAACCAATTATTTTCAGAGATAACAAGGTGTAGAGCTGGATGAACACAGCAGGCCAAGCAGCATCAGAGGAGCAGGAAGGCTGATGTTTCGGGCCTAGACCCTTCTTCAGAAATGGGGGAGGGGAAGGAGGTTCTGACATAAATAGGGAGAGAGGGGGAGGCGGATAGAAGATGGATAGAGGAGAAGATAAGTGGAGAGGAGACAGACTGGCCAAAGAGGCGGGGATGGAGCCGGTAAAGGTGAGTGTAGGTGGGGAGGTAGGGAGGAGATAGGTCAGTCCAGGGAGGACGGACAGGTCAAGGGGGTGGGATGATGTTAGTAGGTAGGAGATAGGGGTGGGGCTTGAGGTGGGAAGAGGGGATAGGTGGGAGGAAGGACAGGTTAGGGAGGCGGGGACGAGCTGGGCTGGTTTTGGGATGCGGTAGGGGGAGGGGAGATTTTGAAGTTTGTGAAGTCCACATGGACTGACCTATCTCCTCCCTACCTCCCCACCTACACTCACCTTTACCGGCTCCATCCCCGCCTCTTTGACCGGTCTGTCTCCTCTCCACCTATCTTCTCCTCTATCCATCTTCTATCCGCCTCCCCCTCTCTCCCTATTTATTTCAGAACCTCCTTCCCCTCCCCCATTTCTGAAGAAGGGTCTAGGCCCGAAACGTCAGCCTTCCTGCTCCTCTGATGCTGCTTGGCCTGCTGTGTTCATCCAGCTCTACACCTTGTTACCTCAGATTCTCCAGCATCTGCAGTTCCTACTATCTCTGAACCAGTTATTTTCATTCTTTTCTGTGGGATATGGTGTAGAATGGGTGCACCAACTGTCTATGCATGAACAGTTAATGCACTTCAACAGTTACTCATTGTTTGTGCTGGCTTGTTAGAACATCTCAAAGCTTAAATTTTTTCAAGGTTTACTGTCTTGGCATCAGTACATAGAACCCTCATCCATCTTAGCCTCAAACTAAGTTTCTGGGGTTGTTTGTTTTTGCACAGGCTGTGCACTGATACAGCCATTCTGAACCATCAGACAGAAGGAACAGCCAACATGCCGAGGTCTCAAAGAAAATTCTACACGGATCCTCTGCTCCCAAAAAAAAAGCAAATGAGTCTCATTGGAAATTTTAAAGTTACATGAAGACATGAGTACTGAAGACTATTCCTTGTGTAATGCAGAAACACCCTTGACACGGAGCAGGCAGAGAATATCACTTCCCCTACTCCACTGGAATTTACACACAGTAAATGTGAGGGAATCTCGGCTGAACCGAGATGTGTCTTGCGTCCTGGTGCTCAGGTAGAAATAGGGCTTTCAGTCCTCTCCAGCTCCTGGAAATTTGGCTTCATGATTGGGGTTCTCACTGATGGAATCAAGGTTTCTGAACTTAGCCCAGACAGTTTTAATCCCTATCTGATGGGAATTGCAAGGACAGATGCAGTACAAAGATTACAATGTGAAGTATTTCTTTTTAAATAGTTCATGAATCATCTAACCTTGAAATCCATCTTGATTAACGTCTCCAATAGTGCTGATGGCATAACCGAACATGGAATCCTTTGAGCCATTTAATACCAGGTTGGGTTCCTCTGAGAACTGTCCTGCCTCATTCATGTAAATATACACAGCCCCACTGATCTCCTTCTTCTGATCGAAGTAGTGAGGAGCTCCGACAATTATGTCTTGCCAACTATTTGGGAAAACAAAACAAATCCCTTCATTAAAAATACATGCCTATGAAGTAATTAGATTGTCACCTACAAAACTTATTGTCTAGCCTGGCATAAAG